ATATGGAAAGATAGATACTTGAGTCATGCATCACGTCGAAGTGGAATGAAGCCATTTGGATCAACTATGAGGCCTAGACTTATTTTCTACCGAGACATGTCCGGTAAGCGAGTAAACGAAGCCCATGGAGGATTTGGAGTGTCTAATGGCCCGAGCAGCAGCGCCAAAGGCCTTGATCGAATAGAGAAGAGGCCTGGCTAATGTTTGGAGCTTTCCTTGGTACAATGTCGGCCCATACACGACGTGGAGAAGAAGGCTCGGCGCATGGGAAACTTTCCTTTTCCGGCATGAAGAAAACCCTACGCGACTTCGCCCATATATACATGTTTTTAGCCGCTGAAGAAGAGAGATCGAGTCCAGAAAATTATCAAAGAGTTACGTGTGAGAAGAGAGAGAAGAGAAGAGAAGCCCTAGGAGATCGTCCAAGAAGAAGGAGGCGCCGCTCAACTCTTGTTCTTTCTTTTTCATTGTTTCCATTTCTATAAACTTGATCTTAAGAGTTTTCAAGGGAGAATCCGACTTTGTTCATCAATAGAGAAGCTTTCTTCATCCCTTTATCTCTTTTAATACTTGCATAATGTTTACAATCATGCTTTGCTTGCTTGTTTGCATCATGGCCGAGTAGATCTCTTAGTTAGGCCGAGGAGATCTATGGTGGCCGTGATGATTTGATTGTGTTGCAACTTATTGGGATTTATCTTATGGATCTTCACCTTTACTTGAGCTTAATGCATGATTACTCTACCGTACATCTAGTAATCTGATCTTAGAGAAATAGAACCACGACAGTGCTGAATCTAGATCTCAAAACTAGTATTTGGTGAGCAATAGATCATAGCCAACGAAAGCTGAGTTATGGTTTATTGTGAACAATTGAATCTTGAACCTTTAATGCATGTTTGCAATTCTAATAGCCAACGAAAGCTGAGTATATTAGGTTGTTTTAAACATAGTGGTTGGAGCCACGACAGTGGAAAGACCATACACTAGTGATTCATGTTCAAGACGGCTCTACACACATCCCATGCAACTATCTTTTCATCATTGCTCCATATGATTGTCCTTTGCCTAACTCTTGTTTTAAATTGTTTACAAACTCACTCACATTTCTTTTGTTTTGTTTTCTCATTCTAGGTCCAAAACCACCTCATATTGCGAGCTAGCTACAAACCAATCTCACAAGGTGTTAAGTGAGAACACTTCCTCCTCGTGTTCGACCCCGACTACAACACGGCTGTGCACTTGCAGCTCATTAGTTGGGTTTATAAATTGTGAAAATTTGAGGCAATCTAAACCCGCCATCAGTTACTATTCAATGAGTTGCTTGCATGATCTTTGATTTCAATGAATAGCTAGGGATTATATTAGAGTCTTTGTCTCGTCTTGTGCACTTAACTAATGCTGATTGCTTTACCGCGCATCTAGTAATCCGATCTTAGGTTGATTTGAGCCTCGACAGTGCTGTATCATTCGCCGGACATATTCTTTGACAAGCTAGGTTTCTTAGACTGCGAAAGTTGATCTACTATAATCTAGTGAACTGTATCAGAACCTATTCATTCTAAAGCTTGATTTAATCACCTAGGGACATACCAAAAGTTTAGCGACTAGGTAGATTATCAAGGAGCCGGAGCCTCGAAAGTGAATGGTTTTATATTCGTGATCTGTGTTCTAGACGGTTCTTAATATCCCAACATCCCTAATCAATTCATCTATCATTGTTTCATTGATCATTGCTTGCTTCTCTGCGATAGCCCCTATGACCTAGCGTTTCCCCCTTATTGTTTCACAACCTCGTTATACTTGCTAGTTCGGTTCACCATTACAGCCTCAATCATACTTTTGTTTTAGCTTGATAGCCCCTTGTCTTGCTGCCACATGAAGACATCCCAAGCCTACGCTCAGGAGTTGTCACTTTCCAGCCCAATGAGGAAGATTCTATGTTCCATCAAGTGAGAAACCATCATTCCCCATGCTCACCTATCGCACACTTCAGCATGCAGTCAAGACTCAACGCCGCCTCCAAGAACGCCATGTTCTCACTACTGGCATGGCTGCGCACCAAGCTCTAGACCGTGTTAACAAGCTGGAGAAGATAGTGGAATGCCAATCTCGCTTCATCTCACGCCTAGTCCGTGTAGTTCGCCACATTGCACCGGAGAGACTCTTTCGCCCTTCTTCCACCGCTAGAGAGCCATATGAGCCTGACCTTGGTGAGTTCTCACTAGACTCAGAGCTTGGTTCAGAAGGCGATGACCCCATAGATGAGGAAGAGAGTTCTTCTCACTGCCACACATAGTCATCTCAAGTGGTACTTAGTGCAATGGACACTTACAAATCTCCATTTTCTATCCCTATCTCATTTTAATGAATTTTTCTTTATTTTTCTTTTACTTTGAATATTACCTCTCACCTTAATGTGATTTGCTTTCACCGGGACGGTGCAAGTTAAGTCTGGGGGGAGTTTTATTGTGTTACTAATGCATTTTTCTTTCTTTTCTTATGTTTTATTCACTTTGTTTCATGTTTTTCAAAAAGTTTTATTGAGTCAAAAACCAGTCCGGAAGTTATGAACTTGCTTTGAGAATTGAGAGTGTTATGCTAACAATCCATGACCCTAGAGCAGAAACCAGCTAAAGGCACAAGCCTAACAGAAGCTCTTACAGTGGATCGACATGCTAGCTCAGCAAAATTTCTAAGGTAACCAAGCAATCTAGAGTTAACCTCACCTTAATCAATCTTAATACTCTTGTCAAGGGGGTTGGCATACATGTCGACAGTTCCTTGCTTGATTTTCAATAAGATTTGTCTAATCTTTAAAGAGTTCTCCTCTCTCTCCCATCCCAAATGGTAAGTAATGTTATGAGAAAAAGCTCAAAGAGCACAAGGAAACAAGTAAGCATGAGGAATGCATATGTCTGTACCTTCATGTCTTATGGAATACCTTAGTCAAACAAGGAACAAGCTAAAGACTTATCCTGTGGTTGAAAGAAGGGTCAATAGAAAAAATAAAATGATACCCTAGAAAAGTAGGGATAAATTGACCTTTCAAAGTTCTGATGTGAGAAAGAGAGAGGAAAAGAACTCATTGCACTTAAAGAGGCAATCTTGGAGAGGATCAAGTGGGTAAGAACAAGTTCAATTGATCGATGTCCCCTTGATAAAGAATTCACGCTTTAAATTTATGCAAGAGGTTAGCAATAGAGAGTTTGGATTGCTGGATGAGACTAGTTGGGTTGGTATTGTTCGCTAAACTTGCAGGGTGTATGTGAAGCTAACCTTATGTTGTCTATGTTCATAGTGGAATACAGGAAAGGAACCTTTCACAGGATATTCAAAAGAGCAAGGGAGTTCCACGTTTTCAAACCTCTTTCACGGATTTAGATTCTTTTTGCTTGAGGACAAGCAAAGATCTAAGTCTGGGGGAGTTGATATACCTCTAATTTACCCACTTTTTATACTGTTTTAGCATTGTTTTCTAATGGTTTTTGGCAGGTTTTCTATCTAAAAAGGTAGTTTTACTGTGTTTATAGTGTCTAGAGTCTAAACAGGTGAAATGATGCATTTTGGAGCAAAACCATAGGATTTGCACTTCAAGCCGCTCCATGCACAAGCACCAACTTTAAGAGGGCCCAGAAAAAGATCTACTCAATGGATTTCATCAAGACCAGTTCCCTGCGTGCTCTGATTGAGTTAACTTTCCAACGCAACTGGAATGGCCTCATTTGGATGAGTAGAAAAGGAGTTATACCAAAAGAGTGAAGACTGTCCAGACGGCTCTATCGAGAATCAGCGCCCAACCGCGCAGTCCGGCTGGCCGAGGAACGAATGTTCCGCGCTCGGCCAAAGTATCCGTCCGACTGAAGTCTCGGCCAAAGTCCAAACCGACTCGGCCGATCACGCAACACGACCCGGGAAACATTGTCCCGCGGTCGGCCAAGACACCGACGCCAGCCGCGCACGACCAAAGCGCGCGAGCCGGGAAACAAGCCTCGCGGCCGCGCAACCCTCGCGTACCACGGCCGATGCATCCGTCCGAGCCGGGAAGAACGTCCCACGTCCGGCCGAGAATCATCGGCCAAATCTCATCCGTCCGACCACGCCGGCCGACCGTGAATCCATCCGGCCACGACCGTTCCGACTCGGCCACGACCCGATGTCCGGCCGATCGTCCCGACCGACCGTCCCAACGCCGCGGTCGACCCGAAGCCCGTTTTGAAGCCCAAACTTTCATATTTTCAAGCCCGGCTTAACCCTAAGCCGCCTCAAAAGACCTAGCACTATATATATAGCTTTTTAGCCTCTTGTGAAAAGAGAGCCGCCCTTGTATTTCGATTTCCTACTCTAAGTTTTATTGCAATCATGTTTTCTTCATCTCTATGTGTGTTTGCTTTGATCATGTCTGAGTAATCCACTAGTTAGGTTGCTAGGGTTACTATTCAATGAGTTGCTTGCATGATCTTTGATTTCAATGATTAGCTAGGGATTATATTAGAGTCTTTGTCTCGTCTTGTGCACTTAACTAATGCTGATTGCTTTACCGCGCATCTAGTAATCCGATCTTAGGTTGATTTGAGCCTCGACAGTGCTGTATCATTCGCCGGACATATTCTTTGACAAGCTAGGTTTCTTAGACTGCGAAAGTTGATCTATCTATATCTAGTGAACTGTATCAGAACCTATTCATTCTAAAGCTTGATTTAATCACCTAGGGACATACCAAAAGTTTAGCGACTAGGTAGATTAACAAAGGAGCCGGAGCCTCGAAAGTGGAATGGTTTTATATTCGTGATCTGTGTTCTAGATGGTTCTTAATATCCCAATATCCCTAATCAATTCATCTATCATTGTTTCATTGATCATTGCTTGCTTCTCTGCGATAGCCCCTATGACCTAGCGCTTTTCCTTTATTGTTTACAACCTCGTTATACTTGCTAGTTCGGTTCACCATTACAACCTCAATCATACTTTTGTTTTAGCTTGATCCAAAATCCATAGTTTCAAAGTGTACTCAATAGCCAGTCCTTGTGTTCGATACCCATACTTCCGCGATCTGTGCACTTGCAGAGGTCTAGGAGTTTGGTAAAACCTGACTCCGCATCATTCTTCCACAGAGTTGGTGATGGGGATTGCTTCTGTTGCTCTTGGAGGTCTAGGTGGTAGTGATGCTCGAGATGTGGTCGGAGGTTCATTAGGGTGTGCAGGTCCCGGTGGAATGTTCTCGGGTGGGAGGGTTGTCTTTCAGCGTGGTTGATGAAGAAAGGGGGTTTTAGGTAGTTTGGTCTGTCGGGAGTTGTGGATCTTGTTGGTTTAGATACACGTTTAGCTCTTGGATTTGTAAGGCAGTCTTCCTCTTCATGGGTGAGTTTTTGACAGTACAGGCAGAGTTTGTCTAGTTTGTGATATTCAAGGGTTACGAGAGCTTTACTTCCTCCTTCAAACTCAACAATGGCTTCCTTCGTTATGGGTTTGAGGCATGCTTGATTTAATCACCTAGGGACATACCAAAAGTTTAGCGACTAGGTAGATTAACAAAGGGTCGGAGCCTCGACAATGGAATGATCATACCATAGTGTTTCAAGTTCTAGATTGGCACCTAATTGCAGTAACCCTAATTGATTGATTTCATGCTTCTTGAATTGCTTATCTTAAGACTATCCTATTGCTTAGCCTTTCTCTCCTATTGATCTCACTTTCTCTATCACTTGCATGCTTTACTTTCTCTGCACTCAACCAAACTTATACTTTTGCCCTAGCTCGATCTCGAACTCATAGCTTGTAGTGTGCAATCTGGTCCTTGTATTCGATACCCGTTTACTACTTCTGACCTGTGCACTTGCAGAATCAGGGATAGGAAAGGGGAAGACCTGATCCCGCGATCAGTTGTACTACTATATATTGATACTAGGAGGTGATCAGTTATACTATATCTTGTCTCTGTCCGGTCCCTAAAGATAATTAGGGGTAGGTGAAATTACTGTCCCGTCCCTTCTCGTCACATTCTGTCCCTTTCATCCTGTCCCGTCCAATCCCGTCTCATTCTGTTTTTTCATCTCGTCATGTCTAATTTGTTTGTCTCATCTCGTCCAGTCTTATCCCATTTCTCTTGTTATGTTTTTTTCGTCTCATCTTGTCCGGTCTCGTCTCATTTCATCCCAAAATAGTTAAAAAAATCAGTGTTCTTTTTATAGCATCTTGACATCAATGTAAATTATATAATCTAACAAAAATAAATTTACTAAATAATAAATTTTCTAGATTTATACATAGTTTTTATCCTTTTTTAAAAGTGACTTTTCATATTCTCTGTTAAACTTTTTATTGTAATGAATGCTAATTATAAAAAGTTAGAGAGAGAGAGAGATATGAGGTGAGGTGAGAGAGAGGCTTCTATGTTGAAAGGAAAGAGAGTATTGAGTAATTTTCTTGTATTACAGCAAGTCGGTAAGTGAGGCGGTAAGTGAAGGTGGTGAGTGGTTAAATATATTAAACTCTTACAGGATAATCAATATCCTTTAACACTTCCCCCTTGATTATCCGTCATTGTATTATGTACGGTCTATGTCATAGAAATACCCAATGAGATAAAAACTATGATTTAGGAAAAAGAGTACCGTAGCATAATCTCCCCCTGGAAAAGACATATAATCTTTTATTTTCATAAGTTTTGTAGACGACGCATTCCAATGCTGTGAACATAGTTCTTGAAAACTGAAGTCGGAAGTGCCTTTGTAAAAAGATCAGCTGCATTGTCACTTGAACGAATATACTCGATATCCACTTCTTGATTTTTCTGAAGTTCTTGAGTGTATGAGAAAAATCTTGGAGGAATATGCTTCGTTCTGTCACTCTTGATATAACCTTCTTTGAGTTGTGTGACACATGCAGAATTGTCTTCAAATATTTTTGTTGGCTCTTTCCTATAGCTATTTGATAAGTAGGATTTTTGGTATCAACTATCCTCAACCCATACTACTCATGTCATTGTAGCGGTTAAGGTGTCAATCCAAGTGGAGTTCTAAACTTCCGAAGCAAAGAGAGACAATAATCAAATTCTTGAAAAAGATTGGGTTTTTTTTGTAAAGATTCAAGCTTTAAGCTAACAATAATGAAAGAGATAAATTTAACTATTTAAGATAAAAGGAGGCGTCTTGGGTGAGATTCGTTGGGTTTATCGAGCTCAGGCCCACTATCCTCAAACCTACCAAGACTCAAGCTTTGTGCTTAGACTTTGAGTAAATCCGCCACTCTCGTGGTCAGATCGCTTTGCAAGAAAAGATCCAAAGCTAGCTCTCACTAGTGGACTCAAAGTTACAAGCTTTCACAAGATCTAGTCTAAATGCACAAGAACATGTCCTAACAACCAATCTCTTAGGTTGGGAACATTTCTCTCTATCGCTAGCTCTCTTAGGCATTAACGCAAACACCTTCTAGGTGTACTAGCCTAGATTCGCGACTTCAAGTGATCAAGAAGAAGCCGAGATATAAAGCTCTAGCTAAAGAAAAGCTGGTCAACAGGAAGCTAAAGCTCCAACCTTTCCTTGTCTCACCCTCGAAACCTCAAGTAAAACTACTCACTACTCATACTTGAACCGAAAGCAAAGAAGGAAAGAAAGCAAGAAATCATCTTTAAGACAAGATTAGCAAACTTAAGTACTTCTTAAACTTAAAAGATTCAAATAAAAGCTTACAAAAGATCTCCAAGAACAAACTGTTTTTCTTGGAGAGAAACTGATTACAAAAGATAAAGATTGCCAAAAAATTAGGTCTTAAAGGTTTATATAGAGAAGGGAAAAGTGTATCCTCGGTCAATGTTTTTGCTTTGACTTCACAGCTGCGCGTAGCTTGAGCACTTCCTCAAGCACTCTGTTTCCTTATGCTCAATGCTCTGCTCTGTCAAGTTCCTTTCGACAACTGATTGCTCCGATCTCCCTCCGGTCCACGTCTGATCATCACCTCCGGTCTGCTCCTTCGCCATAAGCTCCAGATACCTGATATATGCACCCCAAATGCAATGGAAATGCAAAATGCTAACCTAAAAGCTAAATGATCCTAAGTAGACTAATTCTACACTAAATGTCATGAAATGGGACTCAAATATACACAGAACTATGCAGAATGCGAGGCTAAATGTATGCAAATGTTGAGTATATCAACACCCCCACACTTAGTCTTTGCTTGCCCTCAAGCAAACATCAACCAAATGCAAGAGTGTTTCACTGAGCAATAGAGTCAAGTGAAAGCCGAGAAGAGAAATCATTTCAACAACCTAGTTCCAAGGTCTAAAGCGCAAAGGATGTTCTCTACTTCAAAAATCTTAGCCGCACCTTCATAATACAATCAATGACAACTAGATCAACCTAAACACGCATTCAAATCCTCTACTCCTTTTAACATTCATTAGAAGCATAAAAACAGTGAATCAAAACACATGCAAGTCAAGTTAACTCGTTTGGCCGATGGAAAGAAAGAGAGCAAATCAAATCAAGCGAGGTCAGGTCAAATGACAAAGGGAAGGGTTCTCTCAAAGTAGAATGAAACAGCTTCGGCATAATGCTAAAGGCGAGAACCAATTGGGAGGTACAAGGACAAATGATCATCTACCCGAAACCCCAAGTACCTTTGGTGAATTTCAAACCCAAACTTCCTATTTCTACCCTTTTCCCTTTGGTTTTTCTTTTCCTTTTTCTGAGAGCTTTTTGATTCTTTAGCTAACTTTTCTAAGGCTTTTTGTGATACAAACCCGAGAGACTTGGTCTAGACTTCTTTCTTTTCTTGCCCTAACCCATCTTTCTTTTCTTGTTGTTTTTTTTTATTCTCTCTTTTTTTTTTTTTTTCTGATGGGGGCTAACTTAAACACACAGACCAAGCTCTAATCAACCTTAGCGACTTCGCTGCTATCTATTTTCTTTTTGCTCACACACTTTTCTTTCTTTCTTTTCTCAAAGATTCCCAACCCGAGACATTCCCTAACCCAAATCCTAGCCTAGTCTTGCCCAAAAAGCATGGACCAGAATCTACATGATCACCTATCCTTGTCGACTCAAGACCTAACACTTTATGCCAAGCTTTTTCCAAGAGGCCTCACAACACACAAGAATAACATTTGGCTTGAAAGGAAGGGTTGGTTACGGGAATGGAGATCTACTTGAATAAACAAAGAGGGATGAAAAATAGAGCAAAGATGATTCAAGTATGTATAATCTACGAGTTAAACCTAGCAATCATGATCATGATAATTGAGGTTCAGGTTAAGGTTTCACTTAAACAAGGAGCAGATTCAAATCACAGCAATGCATACGGTTTCACTAAGATAGTCATGATGCTTTCTGAAAATGCGGTTCTACCTTAACTTCAAGAACTATCAAACGCGCTGATGCGGCATCTATGGGATGAGTACAAGTAATAATTCCCTAAGACAACTAGTGTTGCAAGTGCACAACATATAATTGTAGTATTTAGGGGTCGAACTACTAGGGATTGGATTTCACACATTACACAATCATATAGTTTAAAGATCTAAGCTCAATCAAACGATGCAAGGGTTTGTGTTTGTTGAGAACACATGAAAGAAAGGAACAATGCAATTCTATACAAACAACATTATTGAACTATTGGAAAATTCCTTTGAAAACATATGCCAAGTCGATTGAAAAGTTTGTTAAAATTGATGATAAGATTTGTGTGTGATGTGATAGATATGAAATGAGATGTGGTGGAATGCAACAGTGGTAATGATGAGGTGGTAAGATGCAAACACAAACACAGTCAACAATTCCCTTTAACCATATAGTTATGTATAAAGGGTTATCAATCCAAAATGGGAATGTTGCTCTATGAGAATATGAAACACAAGAAAGTCAAGCAAAGATTAAATGAATGTAACACTAACAACCTAAATGAAATGAAATGCAGCAATAAAAGTAAAAAAGCAGTGAAGTGTCAGCTCGACCAAGAGCTCGAGTCGAGTCAGAGCAAAGTACCAGCTCGATCGAGTTTAGGGACGAGTTGAGACAAACAAAGCTAAAGGTGACGACTTTAACAAGATAAAGAGAGAATTAGGGTTCAAGACAGGGTTTTGCAATCAAAGGAATCTACACTTAATCAATCTAGCTCTTAAAACTCCTTGTATCAAGGCTTCTCTTGATATTGGGCTTCTCAATGCCTAGCCAACCCTTTCCCAAGGTGGAGGCTATCAACCAAGGAATGATCTCAGAAACAGGGGGTTAGCCAGTGAGAATCAAACCTTGGAGGCTATAGGATCATTGCCCAAACTAATCCATCCAACCCCTTAGACCTCTATTGTCTAGAGCAAGAGATATTGGAGCTCTTAGTGGATCTTTTCCAGCGAATGCCATCACTTTCGTGTGGGGAGTCGCCTAAGGACTTACAAGCCAGGGGTAGTGGTCATGTAGCCTTAAGATCTATCCAAAAGAGAGAGAATCTAGATTAAGACCATAAGCAAATGAATAAGTTCCGGCCTAATGAATGATCCAAATGACCTCTTTCCACTTCTTAGTGATGCATGACTCAAGTATCTATCTTTCCATATAAGAATCATGATTTGTGGATGTCGGGAAGGCATAAATATGCTGTCGTACATCGGATGCTCCGGTTTGGTCTTTAGCGAGAAATATAGATTTGGTGCTCTAGACTTGGGAACTTGGTGATTTGGCTCCTTTTTCTCCATTTTGGACTCTTCTTTGCTATTTTGACCTGGATGATACTCAAAACCAGAATATACAAGAAAACTACCTCTTGGGCTCAAAAGCCAATTTATTTGTATTGAAAACATAATGAAAACCTTGGTAAAAACATGAAAGATATGGATATATCACGCGCCAAACAACTTAGAACTAGGGCAGTGAAACAATTCCGCAACTCAATCAATCTGCTCAACAAACATTGCTCAGATGCTAAATGAAATGAACCTAACTACATGCTTTGTTTTTGGATTTTTGTTTTTTTTTTATATATGTGCGAGAATGAAAAATGAAAATTTTACATGATTTTCTAGAGATGAAAATGCATGAGACTCAAGGGTTATGCTGAACATAAAGTAAGAACATAAAGCACTAGGTCAAATACCATTGACCCTCTCCCCCACACTTAGTTGACACGGTCCCAAACCGCGCAGAACGGCTGGCCGAGGAACGAACGTTCCACGCTCGGCCAAATCACATCCGTCCGTCTGAAGTCTCGGCCAAAGTTAAAACCGTCCGGCCGATCACGCATCACGACCCGGGAAACTAAGCCCGCGGTCGGCCAAGCCACAACCGCTCACGCCAACCGCGCACGACCATGCCGCGCGAGCCGGGAAACAAAGCCTCGCGGCCGCGCAACCTGTCTCGCGTACCACGGCCGATGCGCATCCGAGCCGGGAAACTACGTCCCGCGTCCGGCCGAAATCATCGGCCAAACTTCACCGTCCGACCGCCGGCCGACCACGAACCGTCCGGCCACGACCGTTCCGATCGTCTAGCGGCCACGACCCGATCATCCGGCCGATCGTCCCGACCGACCGTCCCAACGCCGCGGTCGACCCGAAGCCCGTTTTGAAGCCCATTTCATATTTTCAAGGCCCGGCTTAACCCTAAGCCGCCTCTAAAGACCTAGCACTATATATATAGCTTTTTAGCCTCTTGTGAAAAGAGAGCCGCCTTGTATCACGATTTCATACTTTGAGTTTTATTGCAATCATGTTTTCTTCATCTCTTTGTGTTGTTGCTTTGATTATGTCTGAGTAATTCACTAGTTAGGTTGTGAGATCTATCAAAGAGTTCATGGTTTGATAGGTTGTTAGAAATCGCCTAGGGTTTACTCATCGCATCTTCACCTCTGCTTGAATTCATTGCTGCTTGCTTTTCTGATCAACTAGCATCAGATCTTAGGTTTCATATACTCTCCAAAAGCTTGCTATATAACCTGAACTAAGTATTTGGTGAGCAAAACTTCATAGACTGCGAAAGTTGATCTATGCGGGGTTGTGAACAATTGGGTCTTGAACGAACTATTGCTTGATTTAATCACCTAGGGACATACCAAAAGTTTAGCGACTAGGTAGATTAACAAAGGGGTCGGAGCCTCGACAGTGGAAAGATCATACAATCGTGACCTGAGTTCTAGATAGCGCAAACCCTAGCGAACCTTCTAATATCTTGTTAACCTTGAATCTCTGCGAGTTTCTCATTGCCTAGCGTTTCCCTTATTGATTTTCATAAACCGTTTAATCTGCTGTTTGATTTCCTTGTTACACAATCAAAACCCTAAATCATACTTGTTTTCTAGCTATATTAGACTTGCAATACTCGAAGTGTACTTATCTGCTCCTTGTGTTCGATACCCGTTTACTACTTCTGACCTGTGCACTTGCAGAATCAGGGATAGGAAAAGGGAAGACCTGATCCCGCGATCAAGTTTTTGGCGCCGTTGCCGGGGAGCAATACAGCTACCTTCGAGTTCCCAACTATAGTCTAGTCTAGAATTTCGTTTTTCCTTTTTGTTTTTGCAAACTTTTCAACTTTTGTTTTTCCTTTTTACTGTTTTCTATTTAAAGAATCTTGCCTCTACCCCTTTCAGGTACTAAGCTTGAAAGAAGGACTCTAACATGAGTGATTCAGACGATCAAGAGGAGAGAGATAACTTGGCCGCGAGAGAGATCGCGCTGGCCGAGCAGCACGAAGATCCCCGGATCCGAATGCCGCGCACGATCGCGCCAATGATGAATGCCGAGATGGAGCGCGACACAATGAAGAAGTCATGGGAGATTCGATTCCAATCCAACACTACTAATCAATCGGAATCCCATCCAACCGCCACTTCCTGAAGGAAGAAGTATGAGATTTCGCCGGAGATCATTGCTTTGGTGAAACAAAACCAGTTCCAAGGAAAACCCCAGGAGAATCCTTTGGAACATATTGATGCTTTGAAGAAATCTGTGGGACCATCAGTGCAGGAGGTGCGCCCAAGGAGTACTTAAAGTGCAAACTTTTCTCTTTCACTTTGACAGGGAAGGCTTTGCGCTGGGTGAAGTCTCTTCCAGCTCAATCCATAACCACATGGAAAGAGTACAAGGTGGCATTCTTAGGTCACTTTTTCACAAAGCAAAGAGCAAACTTGTTGAGAGAAAAGATCTCTAGTTTCCAACAAGGGCCGGTGGAGCCTTTTCATGAAGCATTGGAGCGCTTTAAGGACTACACAAGGGAATGTCCTAATCATGGGCTATCTGATGGCAGTCTATGGAACATTTTCTACAGAGGAATAAGTGGGAAGTGTCGATTTCTCTTGATACAGCCAGCAATGGAAATTTCATGACCAAGACAGTTACTGAAGCAAAGATTTTGATTGAAAATCTAGCCTCAAGCGACAGTGACAACTTCATTGGGCATGAGAGAGCAGTGAAGGCCATAAATTCTGATCCATACAGAGATGGATATAGTGAGATCAAAGCCATGATGGCTGAGATACTGAGAAACCAAGGAAGAGAAGTGGAGAGACAAAGAGAAGCTTATAGAGTTGAATCCACAATAATTCAAGACTACTTTGGAGATTTGATTCCAAGCTTTCAAGAAGAAGTAAACTTTGTTGGAATAGATGGATTGACACGTGGAGAAGAAGCTTGGAAAGGGGAGCATGATGTTTTTACAACCAAGATCACCCAATGAAAAGAGGGATGTTCATGGAGGGAGAAATTATCAACAACACCTCACAAGAGAAGAATGGAGCCAAGGAGCAACTTTGAAGATTTGGTAACTTTTATCAAGAGTTCTCATAAGGAGCATACAGCCTTGATTGATGAGAGATTGGAGTCAGCTTTCACGAGATTGAATGAGAAGTTGGATTCAGTAAGAACTCTGCTTTCCCCAGTTAACATTGTGCTCAAGCGGACTGTATCTCCTTTCATCAAACGAATACATCACCCAACGCGTCTCATCATCACATAACTTAGGGAAGTAGACACTGTTCCTCAACATCCCCTCGTTGACATAAGTTGTTGATTCACATGAATTAACACTCACAAACATCGTCACACCACCAAGATTTTCCATCTTCTCCCAAACACCTCTTGCAGGATCCAGCTTAAATACCAAAGGCTTCTCATTTCCAAACGTACACACCACAAAGATGTCTCCTTTGTAACCAACCATCGATGTGAACTTTCCTTCACACCAACTCTCATCATCGATGTGATCAGGGCGTGCAGGAGGCGTCACATCGAGCACATTCCACGTCCTTAAAGATGGATCGAAAACAGCAAGATCGTTTCTCAAGTTGAGACAGTAAAACAAACCGTTGGAGAAGACAACATAGTTATGCTTAACATCAAGAAACTGAGACTTAAAGACCCGCTTCAAAGTCCAAGTGGTTTCACCTGGGCTCCAAGTCCGGGGCACATAAGCATCTTTGACGAAAAATAGTATTATACTCAGGGCTTGACTGGTTTAAACGCTGCAGTTACTGTTGCCGGAGTTTGCAGAAGCGGGAGTTTGTTACTCTAAAGACGGATGGCTTCTTATGAGCAAGAACAGTTCATCAGACTTCGTCTTGTTCAATCCATTTACTATGGATCTTGTGGTCTTGCCTTATCTTGACTTGTGGTATGGTCACCAGTTAGTTGGATTCTCTTGTCCTCCAACGTCAAGTTATTGTGTTGTGTTCACAATCAAAGACTATGATCCGGGTCCTGTGATAATTGAGGTATATTCTTTAAATATTTATACTATTCCATTATTTCGTGTTTCTGAAACTTCAATTTTTGGTAATGCTAATGTATGACTAGTTATTTTCATTGTTGATATAAATTTAGGTAGGGCTATATCATTGGCTTTGGTTAGAGCTAATCTAATCACACGGCAAAACAGTTAAATGTGGTGTGAGATTATCTTCAATCACAGGGTAATTTTTTTTGTGATACTTTTCACAAAATACCAAAAACTATATTTTCCATTTATTTATTTGATAACATAAGTGTTTATTAGTTGATTAATTATTTTTTTACCAGTTGATTAAAATTTGTAGTTTAAAAATTATCAAACATTTTTGTAGTTTTCATTTTAAGTAATAGAAATTATAATTATAACTAATATTTCACACAAATTTTTTAAGTAAACATAAATTATAATCATAACTAATACATTTGTTCTGCTTTTACATTTTTGTTTTCTTCGCTCGTGCAGACTATTACAGTACATACTTCAATAACTCAAAATAAAACAATAAAATATATCTCAGAAATCATAAAGAAACACAAAGTCCTACCCAAATGCACCTCGTAGAATAACACACTCATCACGTAGAAACTCAGGTGGCTCATAAGAACTCTTTTACTATGCATACACAAATAGTCTTATATAAGCATCATATTCTAGAAGACTTTGAACATTGTGATCTGAAGATTGGAAAAATAAATATAATGTCAATATTTTGTATGTTTTTTTTCTTTTTTTTTTTTTAAGGCTTAATATTTTGGGTGAATTGGCTATCTAGCCATATTGGGCTTACTATTTAAGTAACTATCCACAAAAGATTTGAAATTAGAGAGTACAATTCACGCGCCTTTAAAAAGACGAATTTGCCACTTATCTTTCGTCGGCAATTTTTTAAGACGAGCTGATGACGAATGTTTGTGAAGCCGAGTAAAAACATGTCACATCACTATACTTCCTTCCTATTTATTATGTGACTAGATTTTCGCCACGTTTCATTATTACAAACTCTGTTTAGTTATAGAACGAACCGTCTCTTTCTTTGTAAGAGACCATACTATCTCATTTTTCTCTGTACTGTACTATTATCTCCAACGAACAATAACAGTTGTGCAGTTAATAAAGGGAGTCCTAATACATAGGTAATTCCAGTAAACTTCTCATTTATACGTGTTGGTAGATAGGGCCCATTTAAAACGAACGAAAAGTACAAATATCAGTGTTTCTGTCGATTGAAATAGTCTACTGTCATGAAATGTTTAGAAACAGATACAGTCGAGGGTTTTGCCACTGTTGTGATCAACGATGGACTGAAGTTTCGAGATCTAATCGATGAGGTGCGGACGATATTACAAATCAAAGCCAACAACATCAGTGTCAAACTCGCCTACCAGTACCCTCGGTTATGCATTCGATAACCTGTCACAACGTCTTCCGTGACCGACCCGTCAATCCACCCGATACGCGACCCCACTCTGTTTTATCCTCGTACCAGCAAGAGATCACAACGATGGCTTCCGCTACGGTCGTCGCGTGTAGAAGCTCTCGAGGAATGGTGAGCGCGCCGGGCTGACGACCATTTTTAATCGATGGGCGGTCCGCGAGAGGCCGGCCTTGGAACTCGGCGACGGGTATCGACTCAATGAGGAACGTCGAGTTACCGAACTTCTTGGGGGATTAAAGAGAGAGACATCTCCTCGTCAATGTAATCACCCATTTGCATAGCTCTGTTTTCTTAGCAACGTGATTCTTCTTCTTGCTACGAGGGAAGCAGCAGCTGCAAGCAACCAGAGGAATGTTCTTTGGACCGAGGCGGGTCGAATCCGTAAAGCGCGATTCTCGATTCTCCGGAAGAGACAACCGGTTCTGACATAAACCGGACCCATAAGCCCATCAAGAGCTCTCATGAGTCATGTTGACATCAAAGAAAGAAGACATGCTGTGATGCGACGGGTCAATACCTTCGAACCGCTGCGGGAACTGAACGTAGCAAAGCCGGTCGCCTCCGCGGTCCATCATGAAGCACATACCTTCTCTCATCACCTCTTAGTTGTATTATATGTAATGACCACAATCAAGATTGAGTATGAATGGTCCATTCGACATAATCGCAGAAGCTCTGACTAGTGCGTTCATGGCTCCGGCCTTCTTGTTATGATCATAACCAGGCCGCTTCTCACGAGATACATAAACAAGAAGTGGTAGTCGGAAGTCCAATTCGGATAGATCAAGAAACCCTTCGGATCCTCCGTATAATGGCTCATCACTCGATGGCTTCAACATCACCTGCATTGATCGATAACACACATAAACAAAATGACATCTTCCATACAATGAAGAAAAAAGGCTTTGCTTTATATCTGAATGATACAAGCGTGGTCACCATCAAAAAGTGATCCAATTACACAAAAACTGTAATCTTCCATACTACCAACTGTAATAACTACATATTTAAATAGTAATTTTCAAATCCTTTTACCAACAAATTCATCTCCTCAAATATTACGAAGAAAAGAACTATGATGTAAGATCGCATCACTAATCCCTAAAATAAACAACAATCAACAATCAATTCGACCATTATGAAATCAGAATAGCTAATATGAACAATAAATTCGAATTATGTGAAATCAGAGAAACGAACCTTGTATAATATTTTTCTCAGTTCTCCGATGAAGAGAAATACAACAAAAGCAGACGGAAAACAAGGAAACACCTCAACGATTTCCTCTAAGAACAGATTGTGATAAATCAAAGATTTTACAGTCCAAGACAGTATTACTCTGGAAACTGACGATAAGGAAATCTCAAGCGGCTTACAGTAAGCCGTATTCTAGCCAGAAACTCTTAAATCGGCTAATGTAGTATGAGGATATTTTAGGTATTATTGTAGAATGTATAGAATATATTGTAGCCTATCATCTGATATGGATATATTTTTAATTAATTGTTTTTTTATGGTTATTCACTGATAAAACCCTAATATTTTGTATGCTATAATACCTAAAATCGATATCTTTACCTATGCATCTCTTTACAAATGCAAATTAAAGTGCTATCACCAGCTATGCCTCCATGTTTCCTGGATTACTCTCTACTCCTGATTCTCTGCAAATCTCATCCTCAATCTGTTCAACTTCATTTTCTGTTTCCAAGCTGTTATCTTCTTGTCCAATTTTCATTATAGGTGATTGACTTGTGTTCCCATATATCTTCTATGTCCGTACACCGAAACTCTATGGAAAAAATATTCCTAAATTTAGCATAATATCTAGTTATGCCATCTTTCCATTAGAGTATAGGAATAATTATTTTCAACATTTACCAAAACAAGAAAATTTTGTTTTAAAAGCGTAACGCCTTATTATGATATGCAAAATCATGAACAAAATGGAATGCATGATTATGACCTTGTAAATCAGATTCTATAAATTGGAACCCTTTTATCGCAGATAAAATCAGTCTTATAGCGAAATACACATACACACAAATACACATACACACAAAGATGAAATTTCTCTCCTGCTTTTTGGTTATCATTTTACTGTACATTGAGTCAATTAACGCGATTTGGGAGAAAGAGACTGTACATTTCAAAAGTTCTCTTAGTCCGAACAACCTTCTCAGAATTCATTGTGTGTCAGACGAAGACAACTTAGGTGTCCACATATTGAAACCTGGACAAACTTACGACTTTAGTTTTTAGGAAAGTGTTTTCAAGACCATATTCGATTGTGATCTATCGCAAGGGTTTAATTACAGGTTTCAGGCAAACTTTAGGGCATATGAAGGTGGTGGTGGCATTGTTCATTATTGTAAACAAAATTTTTGGGATGCTAGAGAAGATGGAATTTACTTCACACATGGGAAAGAAGCGCCCAAATTAGAGTATAAGTGGACAAAAGTTTAGAGTAAAAAATCTAAATAAAGTGAACGATAAACCATTATTGTTTTATAGGCAACTTTTTGTCTTATCTTGTAAGGATTACTTATTGAATAAAAAATATATTGCAGTTACCTATGAAGATGATTTACCATTTTCCTCAAATTCAAGAAACCATTCTGGTTATAACAACTACTCCCTCCGTTTCAAATTAGTTGTCGTTTTGACAAAATGTATCTGCAAATATTTGGACGTATCTGGACGTATTTTGCATTGCAGATACGTCCAAATATTTGCAAGTACATTTTGCCAAAACGACAACTAATTTGAAACGGAGAGAGTATGTAAAAGAAGCGAGTTTTTTTTTTAATTTCTTATACAATTTGATGATCCAGTAGCAAAAACCTTTATAGTTCTCCCTATATGTAACCGTAAATTCTCCATTCCAATCTGATCAGTTATCAAAATATTTTTAGTTTTATAAGTATATGTCAGATATTTTAAAATCTACAAACTGATAATGAGTTTAATTATATTTTTAAGTTGACAAAAAAAAAAAAAAATAAAATATTTTATCATACGTTATTACTATAAAAAAAAGTTGTAAAAAAATTAACAAAAATAGGCAAAACATATGAAAAACGTATGCAAATTATAAGTAAAACAAACTTATTACATTTTTTGATAGGTTTGATACTGCTTTTTGTGGAGTCTTCGTACTAATAAAAAGAAGGTGTTATTTCTATCCATCTCTCTCCCAGTGGATCTTATTCGATCTGTGAAAGAGTCGTACTTGGAGTAAACCACTCCGAAAAAGTTTCACGATGAGAAAGATTTGACGAGGAGATTAATCTTCTTAGTGTACTCCGGTAATGCAAAGAGATCTATATTCTTCTTTTAGTTTCTTACTTTGTTGTATACGTAGAGGAAGAGCATTGAAACTATATAAATTCATGGATTACTACAATAATCTCCCACAAGGTAAGATTCTTTTTTGTCAAAATAGATACAATTTCCACTCATATTCGATAGTTAATGTAAAACACAGTATTAAGCCAACTAAATCAAAACGCAAACAAAAATCTCGAGAGCTAATTAAGAAGCAAATCGTGGTCTCTTAATATCAAATGATTTTGTAGCTTGTGTTATCTTCGTTTTCTTTACTTGGAGATGGAACTCTATTCGACACTGGATACGAATACAACAAAAGAATATCAGATTCATAATGATATTGCCTTTTTATTTTGCCTTGGATAGGTAGATTTTAAAACTAAAGAAACCATCTTTTCCAAAACACATGTCTATATCTTAAGACTTGTTGCGATCTTATAAGTTATAATTATCTTGCTTGTTACAACAACCAAGTCATGCACATCCAATATAGTTGTAAGGATAGGGTTTCTACATTCTGTGCCTTCTTATTTTAATTGTCACTAATACCCGTGCGGGTTTTTGTTTTGACAAATATTTTAATATTACTATTAAACAGACAAACAATATTATGTGATAGATGATGATGTTTAGACAGAATATATAATGTTTACTTAGAATGATATTTTCTCTGCTTTGCATTTCTAATATTTTCTCAGCATCTAACTTGTATGAAATTGATGAGATCATAACCGTGTAAACGGTTACTCCTAATGTAACATCAGCCCTTTTTCTGGAGTTTTGGAAGTTGCGTCGGTCGATACAACAATTGCAAAATCAGACACGGTTCAATTTAAGTCCGGTTTGGGCCGGTTTAGAGCCTGGAAACCCTGATTTCGAGTTTAAAGAAGGAGCAGCCGTTTTTCTTCCTCACTTTTGTCCTTTTGCGGAAAGGAGAAGTTCTTGAGGAGAGCTGGGCGATTTTGGAGAGATCTGTTGCTGTTCTTCATTGTTTTCTCTTATTCTTCCTTTTTCAATCCAATTCAAGGTGAGTGCATGACTGTAGGTCCGTAAATCACTGGATCTGGGTTGATTGAATGTTGTTCTTGAGGTGTTCTTATGATATGAGCTTTATGTGATGATGTTTGGATGATTTCTGTGTTAATTCGGTGTTTATGCGTGTTTTGTTATATCTCAACCTGACGGACGTGCGTCGGGCGACGCAACGCAAATGGTTTGCGTCTGGCGACACAGCCACTTCTATCTGGTTCAATTGGAAATTGCTTTCTAGTTCAAATTAAGTGATTTTTGGTTAAAATCTGGTTAATTGGTTAAATTCAGATTTAATTAGTTAAATGATATTTAATTAATTAAGAGTCTTAAACTAATTATTTAAATTATTTTAAAATATGGAAAATTATTATTTAATTATGAGAATTATTTAATAAATGAGAAATAGAGTTTTAGTTATGAGAATTATTTAATAAATGAGAAATGGAGTTTTAATTATGAGAATTATTTAATAATTGAGAAATCAAGTTTTAATTATTAATAATTATTTAATAATTGGAAAATGGTATTTAATAATTATTGGAGTTTGTAAATATTATTAAATATCTAGTAAATTGCGTAAATGGCCTGTAGGCAGATTGATTGCCTCACTAATCATATATATGAATAGGGGCCAACTCTCTCCATCTATGTGACATGTGGACACTCTACTAATTGACATATGGCATAACCTTTCATATTCTTTTCAGTTAACTCTAAATCTTATTTATTTGTTAAACATTTTAATAGATAGTAAATAAAACCACTCTATTGCGTTAAGGCTATTACCCTTTGACTTCCATCTTGAATTACTATTAAATATCTAAATCTCATAACATACAGTCTAAATCTCGTAATATACAGAGAAACAAATTTAGTGAAGAGCGATGGCAGGGAAGCAAAGTCCGTTAATATGGCGGGAAGTAAATAAAGAGAGTTGATGGTATAAAGACGTATGATATGTAGAGTTGACGGTATAGAGACATATGATATGTAGAGTTAACAGTATAGAGTTGTTAATTAAGTAAATTGAAATTAAAATGCCAGAATTTCTAATATTAATCATAAATCTATAATTATTTTTCATTATTTTCAAATAAGTTATAACAGTAGAAAAACCCGCGCGTAGGCGCGAGCAATAGTCTAGTTATTTATTAAATACTTCTGCAACTCCATTCCAATGTTTTGCAGGTAAAAGATTTGTGTGATCGCGGAATCAAGGCTGAAGAGGGGGATGATAGGATGTTTATTGTTTTTATTTATTTTGCATTGTTTTGCTAGACTTGTTAAATTATTTATTTGCTTCCGCTGAACTGATTTAATATTTTCATTTGAATTATTTATTGATTTTTATTTTAAAGACCTTTGCTAGAATTGTTTAGTATTTAATTTAAAAAAAAAATGTTGGTTGTTTCACCTAGGGATTGTTATCCCACTACATGTGATAGTTAAGAGTTAGTTTATTTCCTTATTGTATATTTAAGTCATCATGTCGTGAATGAAAAGGATACGAAGAAAATATTGAAGTAACTTGTGTCTTTAGAACCAAAGTGTTCTTGTTCTTGTCTTGTTCTTGATCATCATTTGTAAGGCCTAATTTGGGACCTAACAGAAATGTTTTGTATAAGGAAAGTAAAATCGAGAAAAATAAGAATAAGAGAAAATGAAAATGATAAGTTACGTGATGATGAAAGCATAAGTTACTTACTATGTGACGACATCCTATGGATTAGGGCTTTTGACGACAAACACGTCTATTGGGCTCTACGTGTTTGTCAAGTATATATTTGCTTAGATTTATTGTTAGGATTCTTTTATTTAAAGATAACTATAATTCCTTATAGATTAAGATGTTGAGATACTATTAGGATCTTCTTACGTTCATATAAATAGGATGTTCTTTAGAGATAACTTTGATATTGAATAAACTTTGAGCTTTTCATAGCAGGGGAAGTATTCCCAATCTCTAACGAGCTTTTATAGCACGGGGAAGAGTATTCCCATCTCTATCGATCTAAACCTAGACTTCCTACATTTATATCAAACCGATTTCACATGGATCTCATCGATCTCACATGTTTCTTCCTTATCTAGCTTCCGCCTCTCATCAGTTGGTATCAAAGACAAAACGGTCCTATATAATGGTACCAAAAATGAATCTGCAACAACGAAGTGATGAGCAAGCTATTGCCTTGCAAGAAATCTTGGCAAAATTTGAACAAGATCTATGCGACAAGTTACGACGGTCCATGGAACCTGTTCTACAAGTGCTCCAACGATCACATGTTTTACCTCCACGAGATGATGTATTCTTCGATGATGAAGGCAATGTTCTTCTCAAAGAGATCCATGGAGCTCCTATCTTTGATGTCTATGATGACACAAATCCGATCTCCGACGCTTGTGATGGTGCAAATCTATTTTGCGATGAGGAAAATCCAATCTTTGACGTCTATGATGACACAAATCTGATCTCTAGCGCTTGTGATGGTGCAGATCTGATTTGCCATGAAGGTGATGCTGCAAATCTAGTTTTTGATGTCATGAATGATGAAGATTCGGCCAATGACATATTCCATAAAAAAGAAATAGATGTCATCGGAATTCATGAGCTTTTTGAGGACCGCATAACAAATCTAGTGTGTCATAGTAATGAAGATCTCTCCAACGAGGTACATGTTACTATGTTTTCTGACAGCTATGTTGACATATATCATGATGAGATTCACGCCTCTGATACTGCGGTCTACATAGGCCCATATCCTGATCCAGTCATAGTTATGGATGATAAAGATGTTGAGCGCCAGATCTTGATCGAAGCAGTGATTTGATTCGAGAGAAAAAAGGCTCATTACAAACAGATCTATGGTGAGCCAGTGTTCGATATCTATGTCGACGAAGATCCAATTTGTTCTGCATATCAAGGAAACGACATAAGGTTTCTTGGGATAGAAGTAATTTTGCACACAAGTTCTCTTGTAGTTCTTTGTCAGTTTGGAGGCACAAGAGAAGATTTCTATGTGCGCCATGTAACAGAACAGACAGACGTAGACATTCACATGGGCACTTGGAAAACAGAGTTTAGTAAGAGACATTAGTAAGCGAGATCCACATGAAAGCGAGGCAGAAATGGAGTAAAATTAATATTTGAAAACACATAATTACCTCCAAACACGATGACTATGCTGTTTTGCGAATGTAATATATATAAGAGTTTTCTCCATCCCGCACCGTCTTCAGGTCACAAAAGATGCCTTTAAAAGATATCTCTTTTCAGCATATCAAATTTCTCTTAAATTGTAATCCGAAACCATTCAAAGTTTGGTGCCATTATAATCCAGAGAGCCATAGACAGAGGAAGGCACAATTAGAGTTATTTGGAGCCAACCTGGAAGGAATACCCCAGCAGAAGACAAAATTGCAATCTCTTAAGATTAGGCTGGGATATGTGAGCAACAGCAACTTCATCACTGGATTGGATAGAAAGGGACTTAAGGACGGAAGTGAGGAGAAACAGAGACAATCTTCACACTCTTCGAGTCGAGCAGTGAGGGCAGATTTAGTTCTAAATGTTTAGAAATTGAAGGATGAATATAGTTTTGATTACAGATATTAAATTTGGCCGCTTGGAGATCGAATCTCTAAGGGTCTCACTATGGAGAGATGACTGAAGTATTAAATGGATAGAGAAGAGAAGTTCAGAGGTGTTCTCATGCCGTCATACGTTACATGTCTAGGAGCAATAAACGGAAGTTATTCGAGGAGATGTATCAACTTTTATAATTTTGTGTACACATGTCAGACTCTCGTGCATCCAAGTGTCAAAATAATGGAGAGGGTTCTTCCCTAATCATATATATGATTTAAAAATATCATCAAAAATAGTAATAATAAGTGATTTTAAGGATATTAAAGTTATTATGTTTGTGAGAGTGAATAAGAAAGCTTTTTTTTTTTTTTGAACAACAAATACTTTTTTTTTTTGAAACACAACTGATTTTATTAGAATCGATTTACCCCCTTGAGAACATAAAAATTCTAAGGGCGTGTTTGGCTACAGAGTCAGCTACAGAGTTATCCAGACGCGGGATAAACTTAAACTGAATACAATTAAAAGAAGAAGTGATTAAGTCGATGTCTTCTAGGATGCTGTGGACTTCCAGAATTTGAGATTTCTTGGTAATTGCCTTGATCAGGGAAAGCGAATCCGACTTGAGCATCAAAGATAAGAACCCTAGCTCTAGAGCCTTAAGGAGAGCTTGTCTAATCAAGAGGGCTTCAGCAACTAGAGCCGAAGCGACAACAGGGAGAGATGCGGAGTAAGAAGAGATAACCTCTTCACCGGAATAGAAGATCCATCCGATTCCTGCAAATCCAGCTGAATCAGGGTCAGCTATCCACGCTGCATCCGAGCAGCAAGTGGTAAAATCCATACCGAGATGGTTAGTGAGAGGCCGGCCAATCGGTTTGGGGAGAGAGCTTGTTGATCCAAGTTCCTGTGCTGCACTCCATTCTCTTGCATCTTGAACGGCTTTAAGGACAGTCTCTTTAGCCGTAAAGTTTTGACTTTCGAAAATCTTCTGGTTTCTAGAGATCCAAATAGCCCAACAGATCCAAGAGAAGAGCAATCCACTCTCTAGTCCCACCGGAGGTAGTGTTACCATCGATTTCGCCGTAATTAGCCCGTCAGGAACGTTTACACAAGTCAGGGCATTGAAATCGGCTGAGAAAGGAGCTAAACTCCAAACCTGACAAGCAAATTCACAATGAAAGAGGAGATGGAGGACAGATTCCGGTTCACTACATCGACAACAAGAAGGGTCAATCGGAATTCCTCTTGCTTCCAATTGGAGACCAACAGGTAGAGCTCCATGCAAGGCTTTCCATAAAAACATTTTCACTTTTGGTGCTGACTTAGTTTGCCAAACTTGTACATTCCAGTCAATTGCAGGGTTTAAACCTGGAGGATTGAGGGCCTGTTTCAAATCCGTAGCCACCAAATAGCCTGTTCTTGTTGTATATTCGCCTGAGGAGTGTTTTAGCCATCGTCGTTTATCCGCTCCTCCTATTAGACTTGGCTTTAGGGTAAGAATCTCGGTCTTATACTCCGGGAAGAGCAGTTCAATCTTTGTTATATCCTAAACTGGGGAATTTTGCAGAAAAAGCTCTGAAACTAGTAGATCATTTGTTTCTTCTGCAGGTGGTCCCATTGGTTGGAGTTTTTCCGTGGTAGCTAACCAGGGCTCTTCCCATGCCCTTATATCCTTCCCATTCCCCACAACCCAACCAAGTTGGGTCTCAAACAGATCACGCCCTATACACAAACTTCTCCAACCATGAGAAGCTGAGTTTGGAACGGATGCTTGTAAGAAAGGTACGTTGAGTGATACTTTCCTCTTAGAGTTCGGGCTAGTAAGCCTTCAGGTTTATTTAGAATTCTCTAGCTGAGCTTTGCAAGCAGAGCGTCGTTGAAGTTGTTGATGTCTTTAAAGCCTAGACCGCCTAGATGTTTTGGTTTTGCCATTCTTTCCCATGATACCCAACTCATGTTCTTTTTCTCAGGTGATGTGTCCCACCAGAATCTCGTCAAGGCGGATTGGATCCGTTTACACAAAGATTGGGGAAGTTGAAAACACGACATAGTGTAGGTTGGCATAGCTGCCAAAACACTCTTCAACATGACCATTTTTCCAGCAGTTGAGAGGCGTCTGGTTGACCAACTTGAAGCTTTTTGCTTGCTTCTGTCCACAATGGCTGTGAAAAGATCTTTCTTCTTTCTCCCAAAATGTTCGGGTAGCCCAAGGTACTTTCCACTTCCTCCCTCCTTCTCAATACGTAAGAACCTCTTCATTAAATCTCGGGAGGATTCAGGTGTCTTTAGGGAGAAAGTTATTGATGATTTATGGGAGTTTATGAGTTGTCCAGAGACAATTTCATACTTGCTTAAGATCTGGTTTAACTCCTTGCAACTTCTCTTGTTGGCTTTGCAGAAGAACATAGTATCATCAGCAAACAAGAGATGGTTTATTCGAGGACTTCCATTAGCAACTCAAATCCCTTGGAGTTTGCCTAGGATCTGCGCTTTTCTACACAAGCCGGAAAGAACTTCACTACAGATGATGAAGATGTAAGGGGATAGCGGATCTCCCTGCCTGATTCCTCGTGAGGGTTTGATCGATCCTCTTGGAGCTCCATTGATGAGGAAAGAGTAAGAGACTGTATTTATGCATTGCATTATCCATCCAATCCATTACTCATGAAAACCTATTCTTTGGAAAACTAGTCTCATGAAATATCATTTTAGTCTGTCATAAGCTTTACTCATATCTGTCTTTACTGCCATGGAACATGATACCTTTGCTTTGGATACTTTCAGGAAATGAAGAACTTCATGTGTGATTAGCACATTATCAGAGATAGCTCTCTTCGGTACAAAAGCCGATTGATTTTCAGAGATAAGACCATCCAGGAGAGGTTGTAGCCGTCGAGATAGTAGCTTGGATATCACTTTATAGCAGACGTTACAGAGGGCTATCGGTCTGTAGTCGCTCACTTTCCTTGGTCCAAGAATTTTAGGAATCAGTCTGATGTGGGTATCATTGGAACTTCGAGGTAGTTCTCCAGAACGGAAGAAAGTCTCCACTTCAGCGATAATGTCCGGACCCACCACTTCCCAGTTTGAGTGGAAGAAACTTGCAGAGAAGCCATCAGGCCCAGGTGCTTTCTCTGCATGAATAGCGAAAAGAGCCTCTTTGATCTCAGAGTGAGATGGATCTTTGATTAGTTCTTGGTTGGTGCTGTCTGAGATCAAAGGTTGTAGAGCCTCCGTGATGATGGCTCTTTTCTGCTCGCTCATCTGAGCGTGAGAGTAGAATAAGCTTCTGAAATACTCGGTAATAACCTTGACTATTTGATCTTCTTTGAAATGGACTATGCCTTCCTCATCTTCTATTACCGAGAATTTATTGATTGCAAATCTTTTTCGTGCAGAAGCATGGAAGAAACTTGTATTTCTATCCCCTCGATTCAACCAGAGCTGACTGCTTCTTTGCTTCCAGAAGGACTCCTCTGCATTGTACGCCTTATTTAACTCTGCCGTTAGAGAAGCCAGCAAGAGCTCATTGGGTGAGGGGCTTATCATTTTCGCTTCAATGCCTTGCTTCAGCAATTCTATTTGGTTTTGGCTATTCACTTGTTGGTCTTTACTCCACTGGACAATAGCTCTACGGCATTTGCCGACATTCTGTTTTAAATTACAGTTTGGTAGTTACCAGCGTTGTAACTTCTTCATTGTCCTTTAGTCTTCTATCATACCTAAAGCTGGATTTTCTCTTCTTCCTCGTAGGGCCAAAATAGGAGACAATGGGTCGATGGTCCGAGCCTTCAAATCTCAAGTATTCGCAACGACCAGATGGGAAGAGCTCTGCCCACTCATTGTTTGAAAGGGCTCTATCTAGCCTGGTTTTAACAAGGTGGTTGTTTCTTCTGCCTCTCCAAGATAGGCAGCAGCCAGAGTGTCTTAAGTCGTACAAGTCTCCTTCAGAGAGAAAGGTGCGGAAATCACTGAAGGTTCCTTCATCTCTGATAGGTCCTCCCTCTTTTTCCGAGTTATTGATTATATCGTTAAAATCCCCTGACAGGAACCAGGGATCGTCTCGCACTTGTGCTAAGCCTATGAGCTGGTCCCAAACTTGTTTTCTTGTGGCCCTTTCCGGATCTCCATAAACAAAGGTAGAATAGAAAACGAGACCTTCATACGTTATCTGAGTATCAAAGTAGTTAGTACAAGAGGAAATAATGTCTAATGGGATTTCTTGTTTCCATAGAAGCGAGAGTCCACCACTAGCAACTGACGATGGGGATACAAAAGCGATGTTGTGGTAGCCAAGGCTTTCTACTTTCGTCATCACAAAAGGATCGGGATTTTTTGTCTCTGACAGGAAGATGATATCCGGGTCTACTCTCTTGCGGATCTCCTTGAGACGTCGAACTGTCCAGGGATTCCCCAACCCTTGGCAGTTCCAGCACACGATTTTTAAGGAAGAGGAGAGGACGGGTTTGGAAAATCCGACGTCTTCTTCTTTATTGCAGGAATGAATCTTACAGGTCCTGGCTGACTTGAGCCGGTTCCTGCTTGTCGAGATGTGTTACTAGTTCGTGGACCAGATGTTCGAGTAGTTCCCCTTCCCGATGCTCTTGGGGATGCTGAGTTTTGTCTTTTCCTTGGGGACTGCATCACCTGAGCAACTTTTCGTTTCTGGGACCCGCTTCCTTGCAGCAGAGGTCCTTTTACGTTAGTTTTCTTCCCTGCTGGTCTTCCTCGTTTTTTTGCTGTCACAGGGCTTGAGAGCAGTTGTTGGCATGTTTCAGGTGGCTCTACCGGTGGACCTAGCCTTTGGGAGGTTGGGATTCGATCAATAGGTCTCCCAGTGGGGCTGTGGGAAGGAGATAGTCGGGCAACCCTCTCTGCTTCCTCAAAAGACGCTGCTAATGCTTTAGCAGCCAGAGCTGCTCTCACCATTTGAGCCGCTTGTTCCTGGATGTCTCCATTTTCTTCTGCTAATCTGTGTCTCTCCTTTCTTGCTGCACTTTCCGAAGGATCTGCACAGGAGGAGTATTGGACCAGAACATCCCGGATTTCACCCATGGCGGTGTTCAACGCTTCTCTGGGTAACTCAGCATTTGGAACCGTGGGGGATGGTTCTCTATCCAGGGGTGGTCTCCTCTGCCTAGAGGATCCCGCCGAGAAAGTAGATTCCTCTTCTCTCCGAGTCTCTGATACTCTAGGCTTTTCGATCCATTGAGGTGGTGTCTGATACCTTCTTGCTTCATAGTGGTCTCTAGGTCGAGAGTTATTGGAGTAGTGTGATCTAGACAATTCTGGAGTTCTTCTGGTAGAGAGGGATCTAGGGTTTGGTGATCCGGATCTCGTCTGTCAAAACCTCTGCTTGATCCCTGCCGATCATGTCTAGTCTTTGTAACTTGAGAGGAATAATAAGCATCGCTCGAATTACGCTCCCTTGGGTAGTTTTTGAAAGCATTCTCAGTCGATTTCTGGTAAGGTCTGTGTGAGAACTGAGGAGCCGTAGGTCGATAAGATTGTTCCAAGATGTGTTCCCTATGCGGATTAGAGCTTCGGATTGTTCGGCTTGTCTCCAGGTTCACCGCAGTATCCTTCTCCGGAGAGTTGTCTAGATTAGTGCAGTCCTTTACATCATCGTTGAGGCTAAAGCAGCTGATGCAGTGTTTCTCGAGTTTTTCATAGACCAGGAAAGCTTCCGCTTCTTCGCCAGTTGCGAACTCTACCGACGTAGTAGTGATGAGTGGCTGAAGTCCATTTATAGTCACTTGCATTTTTGCCTCTGTGGAGATAATTTCAGAAGATTCTAAGACACCAATATCATCGGCTATGCTTTTGAGGGTTTCATCAGACCAAAGGTGAAGAGGTATGCCTTGGACTTTGATCGTGAAAGGAATTTGGGATGGGAAATCTCTTGCGGTTGTAGGTTCCCATCTTTCGAGAATAATCATCCAGTGGGCAAAATGGTACGGACGATTGTCCAATACCTTTTTGATGTCTTCCTCAGTTGAGAATTGGAATTGGAACTTTCCTTGCCCTAGGTCAGAACCGACTGGTCGGGTGGAGACTTTCCAGTGGTCGGTGAAGAAAGTTATAAGGGACCACACACGCTGGATCTTAGGGTTTGTGATTCTTCCTATTAGCGTCCGGGAGTGTTTACGGATTTGAACCGAGTTATCAAAGCTGGGGACCTGAACCCGAGCTTTCCGAGGTGGTTCAGTAGGGATGGCCGGTCCTTTTTCGGAGAATAAGACAGACGGCGGCTCATTGTTAAGATTTGAGATAAGTGTTCAGATCCAGACTTTAGCCGGTTATCTGGAGATGGGACTTTACTACACTCAAGGTGAGAATTTTAAACTCAGTTTCTTAGGAGATAACTGGTACGGTTTACTGTTGCAAGCAAACAGAAGTTTGTGATAAATGACCTAGCAATAAATGTACCAGGAAACAGATTCCGTCATTTTCAGATCTATAAATACCAAAGTGCTCAGGGGCTCAGAAAGCAGCCTGAGAGAGTTTTTAGAGGATTTAGAGGCTTCCCTGAAGTAGAGATGGCTCTTTTGTTTGAAAAAAGGAAGGTGGGAAGAGCTCGTTCATGGTCTGCTTATTGGTGCTAAGAGGTGTTCCCATTGGAAGAAGACGAAGCCTGGTGAGCCTCCTTCCTAGTTCAGCAAATTTCACCGGTTTTGTTTAGTCAACCAGCCCCATTTTTGCAGCAAGCCGCCGTAGAAATTCAAAAACAGGGGCGGAAGAGATGGAAAAAGTAAAACGGGAAGTAGTTGCGGTGGTTATCGAAAAGCGCGCCTGAGAGCTTTTTCCCTTTTTTGTTGAACAACAACAAATACTTCATTTCGCATTAAACGTGGCCAATGATTATAGCAGGTGGGTCCCAGTGAGAAATTAAAGAGACAAAGACATTTTTTGCAATCTTGGCGATCGTATCAGCCACAAAATTTTCAGATTGAGGGATGGAAACGAAGGTGACTGTTTCCAACATAGATGCGAGAGTGTGAATGTCAAAGAGAATTCCGTAGATCTCTTTGACTTGCTCTTGCTTTGACATGGCTCTGATGAAGTATTGAGCGTCAGATTTGAGTTGGATCTTTGAAAATCCCTTTTCCAGTGCATAATTAAGCGCCGATCGGATCGACAAAGCTTCGGCCATGAGCGGTGAGGAGACGAAGCGTTCCGCTCCCTGGCCCAAGTCGATGTTTGTGCCGTCTTCGTCTACGAAAATCTAGCCCAGTCCTCCTATTCCGTTATCTTCACTCCATGCTCCGTCATTGAAGCATTGGATTGTGTTTGGTTGGATGGCGGTTCGGTTTGGCTGTGCATGACTCCGGATCTGCTTTTGGGTTTCCATTTGCGCCAGTTGCCAGTCTCAGGCTTCCACTATAGCTTTGGTTATCGTCTATGGCCTTGATTGGCAAAGCAGTTAGAAGAGCATTAGGCTTAAGGAGCATAAGCAGGGTGAGTATTTAGAAGAGCATTAAGCTCTTGAAACTGCATGTTCTTAATTTATATGATTGGTAGAGCTGTGAGCCTTTTTATTATTTTTTTTTGTGAAATTATTTAATATGTATATTGATATTTATTTTAATACATCATATATATTTTCATTAATAACATAAGATTGTTTTTTATTTTTTAAAAAATATTTAGTAACTATTTCATATTTAAATTATATTTATTTAATTTTTATGTCATTAAATATTTATTTTATGAATAATACATTATTGTTAATGTTAATTTACGAAATTATAAAATTGTAAATTTGATATAAATATAGTTTCATTTTTTTACCAAAATAAATAAATTAAATATAATTTATTATAATTTATTTAAGATTTTTTAAATATTTTTGAGCTCAATGCTTTGGAAATGCTCCTTTCAGAGCAGGGGGGGGAAGGAGCAGTAGCAGTTTCTAAATGCTCTTTTAAAAAAAGTTGATTGGATGAAAAAGAGCTTAATGCTCTACCAATCAAGGCCTATGTGGGGGAGAAGGATCTTTCCTCAAAGATTAGATGGTTTCTAGTCTTCCATAGGGCCCAAAGGATCCAAGGGAAGAGCAGTCCTACTCCGATTCCGGTTGGTGGGAGGCATATCCAGGCTTCCGAAGCAATTAGGGTGTCGGTGAATGATTGGAACATGAGGGGATTGATGGTTCCTGCGAACGGGGCTAGTTTCCAAACCGCATGCGCTAAATTACAATGGAAGAAAAGTTTCAGTCGTTTCCAAGTCTCCGCAGAAAGCGCAGCAGGGATTATCAAGGATTCTGCGATTGAGAAGATTCTCGCCTAAAGGTAAAGCTTCTTGTACTATTTTCCATTGAAACACTTTCATTTTGGGTGAGACTTGAGCTTGCCAAATGTCTGCATTCCAATTCAGCTGAGGGTGGTTTGGTAGCCGTGTTTTCACCGAGTAATCGCCTGATTTGGTAGGGAGCCATATGTAGGAGTCTAAGGCGCCTCTTCTACTTGGTCTTAGAGCCTGGATTTCATCTCTATGCGCCAGTAAGAGTTATGTGATCTTCTTGGTGTTCCATTCTCTGGTCTGCGCAATAAAGATGTCTGAGACTTTCAGGTTCTGGTCTGAGAGTCTAGGTGGCCCCATTGGTCGTGAAGGAGTTTTTAGAGATAACCAGGGGTCATTCCATAAAGACGTGGAGAGTCCATCTCCAATGGCTCGTCCCAAGCGTGAGGTGAGGAGGTCACGTCCAATTAGGATCCCACGCCATCCCTGGGATGTTGATGAGGTGATGGGGACTTTTAGGAAGTCATTGTCCTTGCAATACTTGCCTAGAAGGATCTTGCTAAGGAGGCATGACGGATTCTTAAGGATTCTCCAGCTCTTCTTGGCCAGAAGAGAGTCGTTAAAGCTTTGGATCTCCCTGAGTCCTCCTTGTTTTTTTGCTCTGGTAAGTTTAGTCCACGATAGCCAACACATCTTCTTTTTTCCGATAGATGTATCCCACCAGAAACGAGTAAGATCTGAAGTGAATGAATATAATTGCAGAGAATATACATAATAGAGACTTGGGTTAATCTAATTATATACAAGTTCTTAATATTTACAATATATCTTCACGAAATAATGTCGGTTTACTCTCTAATTATGGTCTCATCAATACTCCATCCTCTAAAGAACCTCTTATAGGTCCCAGATTTTCAATGGGTATATAGTAACCAATTGGCTGAAGCAGACGAGTAAGAATCGTGCATATGCCAATATGCCATAATAAAACATAATACGGCATGAATAAGAACTCATGGAAGAAATTTCATATAGCACCAAAAGCTCGTGTAGTCTGAAACATTAAATCAGTTAAACAGACTATGATTTTCTTAGGTGCAAAGAAAAGATCAATAATTTTCAGTTACAACAGTGAAAAAAGAGTATGAAATTCTTTAATTCTGATGAAATTCTAAAAGAAATCCGAAAATCAGAGCAAGAAACATACATAAAAATTAAAAAGGAATATAGAAGAGAAAACAGAGCCACACTCGAATGTTAGCTTTACATGAGATTACATTACATCAAAAACACTACAAATAGCAAACACAAATCTTATAAAAAAGAAGGCCGCAAGAGATAAACAAACATTCACAATCCAGAAAATGTACTTGAATAATATGAACCAACAAACAATATCAGATTTCAACATATAAAAAGATAGCTCAACAAAATCTAAGTAAACCCAAATCATGGACTAACAATCTAATCTGATTTAACACTAATTCAAAAATCAACACATTATAAATACTGTGAACAGATAAGTCAAAATCAAAACTACAATATAATCATTAAGCAACAATTACAAAAAGCATAACCAAAACATAGAATAAGAAGGACCATTTCAACATAAAGTAGCATTCACAATCCAGAAAATCCAATAAACAAAAACAAATTCGCACAATTCAACATTTGAAACAGATAACTCGACATAAACCAAATAAACCCATATCAAGGAATCACAATCCAATCTAACCCTAAATGAGAAATCAATACTTGAACCAATAAACAAACAGTAGAACATTTCAATAATTAAAAAGATATACTAGGGATACATTTTTGACCTTGTTTGGTTTTGAAGGCCCACCCATGCCTAATAAATTGAGGCCCATGACGAGGCCAATCTCTCGCCTACTAGCATAAGTAGACGAATCTTCATCATGCGCAACCCAAGCATGTCATCATATTCCGTCAATTTTTCTTTTTATAGACCTATCGGTTTTCGATTAGCCCCGGTAGGAACGCACCAAGGTGCTACAAAGTGGACTACCACACCGCCTATCCCGAGTTTGGAGTGCCTTCCGACTAATGCCAGGGGGTAATTAGGCCGCCTGCATTTCTAATTACCGGGTAAACCAATTGGGCTTAGGCCCAACTGATAGACTTCCTACACAAATGTGATTTTGTTTCCAGGGAGGATCGAATCCGGGTCTGGGAGTTTCACCCTTAACCAAGACTTCCCCTTGCCACTGGTCCATATTCCGTCAATTATTTGTGTTTTGTCGAAATAAAATTAAAAATAATTCCAGCCAAAAAATTTAAAGTAAACTAAAATTCCAACCAAACCTGAATGTGATATCAAAGTCTCTTTTAGGTCATGTGAATCCTTTACCCGTTACCACTCAGAGATTTAAACAATTTCGTGAGATTCTTTTACCCGACAAACAGATCGTACTGTTGTCGTATTCGTACGTATCACAATTATTTTGTATAAAGTTATCTGCTTGTGTTGTGTTAATAATGGCAAAATGCCAAGAAATCATGTCGCTCGAACCAAATAATTGATGGAAGAGTAGATGTTTATCACGATATTATGCATAAACTTATACTTGGTTTAACCTACAGCATGTTAGTATATAATTTTTTTTTTGGTGAATATGTTAGTATATAATTTATAAATGAAATGTTACATTTGTAGTAACAAATATTTTCTTCTATAATTTGTTTACGGAATTGTTTGAACCCTTCAATCTTTATTTGATATATGGAGGAATAGATATAACTTTACCCTTTGCCCGGCATTTTAAATTAAAAAGCAAGCAAATTAAAAAGATTCTGACATACAGCTATGTATCTCTCTTATTGCCTCACCAATAATTGTTGACATACTGGCACTGCTATACGGACTACGGTAGGTGACGCATGCAATAAGAATGTGATTTATTTCATTCAAATAACGTATAGTTTTCGACCAAAAAAAAACGTATAGTTTAGAACCAAAAAAAAAAAAAATCGTATAGTTCACTCCTATCTTTCTTCCTTAATTATTGTAGACATACAGTTGGTGGCTCACCAAACGTCCCTTTTGTATCCATGTGAATGATCCACCGAACCACATTAGTCCTTAAAGAGAATACAGCTCTCACTGAAAGTAAGAAGAAGATATTTCTTTTGAGAACCGAGGATAATGGAGACTACCGTGAGGAACAAGCAAGTAATACTGAGAGATTACGTGAAGGGTGTTCCTAAACAGTCTGATCTGATGATCGTTTCAAACACATTGGAGCTCAAGGTTAAGCCGGGATCGTCCGAGGTTCTGGTGAAAAATATCTACTTGTCTTGTGACCCTTACATGGGGATTCTCATGAGAGAACCAACTCCTTCGACTTTAGCACTTTTGGATGCTTTCGTCCCTGGCAAGGTAACAATAATACACTATATCGATACGCTCATACACACAAGCACACATGACTTAGCACTTGTTGTTTTTTTTTATGCTTTTATGCAGCCTATAGGTGGAATTGGAGTGTCTAAGGTGATAGATTCTGATGATCCAGCTTTTATAAAAGGGGACTTTGTTTGGGGGATGGTTGATTGGGAGGAGTATAGTACAATTAAAATGCCCATGATATTCAAAATCGATGTTACTATCAATGTTCCTCTCTCCTACTACACTGGAATCCTAGGTTATATTCATGTTTATATTTGTAGAAACTAAAACAAGATCAGAATACTATGTGCCCTGTTCTCTTAAAAGTTTTTTTTTTTTTTTTCACTACAGGGACGCTTGGTTTGACTGCTTATGCCGGGTTTCATGAGATATGTTCACCTAAAAAAGGTGAAACTGTCTTTGTCTCTGCGGCTTCTGGTGCCATTGGCCAACTCGTGGGTCAGTTTGCAAAGTTGATGGGCTGCTATGTTGTTGGAAGTGCTGGAAGTACACAAAAGGTCAGTGATTAGTTCTCAAACTTATCTATCAAGGGACCTAAATTTTCTGCTTTCTCTTACTTTTTTTGGTTCTCTTGAAGGTCGATCTTCTGCTAAACAAATTTGGATTTGATGATGCATTTAACTACAAGGAAGAGCCTGACTTTGATTCCGCCTTAAAGAGGTTTTTATTCGGTTGCTTATACTTTAGTTTCTTGAATCATATAATCAAAATCTCATCTCTAAATTCATTCAGGTGTTTTCCAAACGGTATTGACATATACTTTGAGAACGTGGGAGGTAAAATGCTAGACGCGGTGCTACTGAACATGAATATATGTGGAAGAATTGCTGTCTGCGGGATGATTTCTCAGTACCATCTTGAAACCAGAGACATAGTAAATAATCTACCCAACATCATGTTTAAGAGGATAAAGATGCAAGGGTTTCTTTTTATGGACTTCCATGATCAATTGGAAAAGTTTTATGAGTTTGTACATCCTCTCTTAAAAGAAGGGAAGTTAAAGTACGTGGAAGACATCGTCAACGGACTTGACAATGGTCCTGCTGCTCTTGTAGGACTTTACCATGGACAAAACATTGGGAAACAAGTTCTATTGGTTGATGCCCATATGGTTCTGTAGAATCATACCATATGTACTAAGTATAAGTAATTCCTATGATTAATTCAAAGATAAAATGTATCCGGAAGAAGTTGATTACTTGCAGTATTGTGGGGCTGTGAATTACTACAAAAACAGTTCCTCGGTTCTAAATAAGTTGTCGTTTATAATTTTTGTTTCTGTTTCTGTTTCATAAATAATATAGCTTTTAAATGGGCCTGTTCTTAAGAAACCACAAAATAAGTTTTGTTTTTCGATTAAAAATGGTAAATGTTAGAGCTGTTTGATCTGAGTTTTATCCAAAGATAATGAAATAAATTGAAGGGGATGTGGCCCAAAAAGAGCAAAGAGTCGTGTGAGCATCTTTGGCCAAGTGTGAACGGGTTTGTTTCATGTTAGTCGTCACAGTTTATACATAGAGATCTTATGTTCTTTCAACGGCTGGTCTTTTTTTGTTTTAGTAGTGCCTTCATAGTCTCTAGTTGGGAAGCACTCCAATTCGTGTCTCTCAACGCACTAATAAAAAAAGAAAATAAAAGACTAGCCGTTGAAAGAATGGTGACCAAATGTGAAAGCTCCCATATATGGTGTAGACTAAGGTATGTTTAACTGACTTGATTTATTCATAATCCCAAACTTAGGTATTTATACAAGTATGTCAGGACTCAAGATAACATATTAGGACTCCTAAATACAAGAGATTTAACTCTAGCATAATATAAACTATATCCTGAAAGTGACTTTAAACTTGAACTTTCTGACGTCAAAAAAAAACTTGAACTTTCTTTGTCTAACAAACACTCATAAGAAACCTTCCTTTACGATACAATGTTTTAGGTGATTTTATCTTATACCTAACATCTCTAATCCAATACATCCCCTAAACCGGTCTTGTTTGGTTCTCTAATTTTTTTTTCTTCAGAGGCATTAGAAATCACGTCAAGATGGTTCGGGACTAGACTGTTTCATATACTCTAATACAGTAGAAACTCTATAAATTAATACTCGATAAATTAATAAACTCTATAAAATAATAATTTTCTCTGGTCCCAAGTCCGGCTAGTGTAAAAATTAGCAAAATTCGATAAAATAATAAGATAATAATATTTTTGAAACTCCTATGTAAATATATGGTCCCATTAATATCATAAATTAATAATTACCATAAATAAAATTTTATGAAAATACATATCTATAATAATATACTAAAATATAAGTATAACTTTCATTTATTTTCTACTAAAACTCAAATATATTTAGAATTCATCCCTAATTTTAGAATGAACCTATACAAAATAAAAAAACTTTTAAAAATTCTTATATTTATTTAATTTAATATTTTTTTTAATTATTTTTTAATAAAACAACTATTTTATTCAAGATCGATAATTTAATAACTCTATAAATTAATAAAATATAAAGTCCCAACTTTATTAATTTATAGAGTTTATACTGTACTAGACTCATGCGCTTCATATCTGGTCCGGTCTCCAATATGGTTTTGATCCGGTGGCTTCTCCTTGACATTGTTGGACTCCTCATTGATGTTTTAGGTCTTTCCATGAACTAGCATAATCTGTCTTCTCTCCCCCTTTGTTTGGATGCATTATCTTCATCGCCACTCCAAGGCTAGCTACCAGTACGATGTCCTCATCATCATGCAACAGCATTGTCTCTGTCATGCATGATTTATCAATAAGAAACAATCATTAACTTTGTGAGATAAAATTTGTGATACATTCTCATAAATTTGATATCAAGTGTAAATTAAAGGGTTCTGTGCAAAAAAAAGCCCCAAACTAAATTATTTTTGCAAGAAAAACCCTCACCTCAAAAAAATGCAAATCAAACCACTCACCTCCAAAGTCACCCGCAATATAACCCATGCCTATGTTGATGACATGGCATTGTCAGATTTTTTTTTAAATAGGTTTTTGTGCAAAAAACCTCAAACTAGTTTTTTTTGCAAAAAGAGCTCTCATATAAAAAAACTGTGTTTTGATTAGCCCAGTGCATTTCAGTTTTTGGGACGGGAATTAACAGAAATGGGACAAAAATGAGAAATTTGGGAAACCAAAGATGATACCCGAAGTATTCCTTTATTATAACTGGACGGGAAATAATGGGAATGAGAAGAGAACGGGAAATTTGAGAATAAAAAAATAATTCCAGAAGTCTTACTAAATCGGGAAATTGTGGTCAAATGCAAAACTAACCTCCTGTTTTTTTCATTTTAAGTTTGTCCAGTTTTTTCCAATTAATTACGGGAATGCCATTACTTTTTCGATTGGTAGACCGATATTTAGGTCTACCAGATCTGCTGAAAGACCAAACACCCCTCATCTTCTACATTAATTGCCAAAATGCCATATCATCAATGTTGACAACCACCATTTTTACCCAATTTGGAGCTGTTAATGCTCTGAAAACTCACTTTGGAGCTAGCATTTCTCCTTCTTTCATCTCACAAACTCTTATTTTTCCATTTTCTCTCCATTTTCATCCCAAAAACTTAAAAGAAAACTCAAATCTTGGGTCTTGGCATTTCCAATTGTTTAGCTTACAGTGATGACCGGAACTCGTAATTGAAGACCTAAATTGAAGTTATCAGCCCTCGAAGAGCTTTCTCCGACGGCCAAGTAACTTTTCTTTCAAAATTCTAAGAATTTCAGTTTTGGTCTGCGAAGGTAGACTGAATGTAGGTCTACCATTACATAGTAGACCTCAGTTTAGGTCTACTGGTCAACGCAGAGTTGACTGTGCCATTTCCTTTGCAAACAAAAAAAATGAGTGGTAGACCTACACTTAGGTCTACTCCACGTGGAGGGTTAGTTTTGCAATTGATTGAGAAAAATGTTTTTTTTTAGGTCTACCTTGTCGGTCTACTCCACGTGGAGGGTTAGTTTTGCAATTGATAGAGAAAAATGTTTTTCGGAGGTCTACCTCTTAGGTCTACCTAAAAAAAAAAGTTGGTTTTGCCGTTGACTCAAGTTTGACTTTCCTCAAAAAGGAGAGATTTTGCGTCATTGAGGTCTACCGTGTAGGTCTACCATCCGGTAGACCGCAAGTGAGGTCTACTGGTCAACGCAAAAAACTGAGGTCTACCACGGAAGTCTACCCGAGGAAAGTCAAACTTGAGTCAACGGCAAAACAAACTGTTTTCGGTAGGTAGACCTAAGGCGTAGACTAATTCAGAGGTCTACTTTTTTTGGTAGACCGATTGAGAGGTCTACGTTTTCTGGTAGACGTACACGGTAGACCTCGTGTAAAAGTCAACGTTTGGTCAATTGCAAAACTAACCCTCCACGTGTAGTAGACCGACAAGGTAGACCTCCAAAAAAACATTTTTCTCGATCAATTGCAAAACTAACCCTCCACGTGGCCGTCCACGTGGAGCAGACCTAAGTGGAGGTCTACCGTGAACGTCTACTCCGAACGTCTACGTTTTAGGTCTATTATTATGTGTTTTTTAAAATGTCGTTTTCCTTTCAATATATCAAATATTTTGAAATTTTCTCGAACAATTAGTTGTTTTTATTTGTTTACTTGCTTCTGTGTGAGTTTGAAATGTTCTTTCGGCGTAATTAAGGTTATATTCGGTTTTCTTTTGAATTAGGTATCTAGCTTAATTTTTTGGTAGACCAAATTGTGGGTCTACCTTGTCGGTCTACGCCTTCTGTCTACTAATCCATTTTGTGATCTGGTTTGTTTTTGTTGCAGGTAATGGTTTGTCTAGCTTCCGTTTATGGAAAATGGATGGTGATGGAAGACAAGTCATGGCATTTTGAGATGGATAAAGGAAAAGGAGGGAGAATGTTCTACTTACGGGATGGTTGTACACATAAGGAGCCTCTTAGAATGGAACAAGCTGACTATATGTTGGATATGGAAGCAGACATGGTGGAATTATCTTATCCATTACCATGTGATGCTCCATCAAATACCCTCAGACTTTCCTCATATGTACATCACCAACGGGCAGGTTCATAGCTTGATAGAGTTTATAGTTGTTCGAAGTGCAGCAACCGGGACATATCCGCCTTCATTGCGTAAGCTAATGACAACTCACAGTGTGTTCATGGTTTCTGTTTTTTTATTACATGAGTTTTATAAAATTGGATTTTGAACTGATGTAGATGAACAACACAGAGATAGACTGAAAATAAGGTCTACTTTGGAAAGGTAGACTAAATATGAGGTCTAATTCGGAGAAGTAGACTGATAATAAGGTCTACAAATGCAATCTACAACTGAGATCTACGTAGTAGATCTACTTTGTGCTATTTTCAAGTTTTTTATGTAAGTTTTCAGTTAGACTTAATCTCTTTGAAGAAACAAAACCTATATTAATAATAAGTCATGTATTGATCTCTTTCAATAAACAAAATTTGTGTATCAAATAAGTGCAAATATCAAAAGAGATCATGACAATAATAATGAAAGTTTTTTATTAGAGAAGCAAAGTGTTACAATCAAAATTGAAAAGAAAAACTGAAATCCAACAAGTAACATGAGGCCTACTTTAAAAAGATAGATTAAAAATAAGGTCGACGATGAAGATCTACGTAGAAGGTCCACACCAGCGGTCTACGTAGAAGGTCCACACCAGAGGTCTACGTAAAAAGTCTACAAAACCTTTTTCTTTTGGAGATTGTTATTCCCATAGAGGAGAGGCCTCTCATCAGCAGCTTCTGTAGTAAGACCTTCTCTGCTACAAGTCAGAGTAATGAAACACAAATCTTAAGTTTAATGAAAGAAATAAGACTAGAAATTGAGATTTTTCTGGAAACAGAAATAGAGAATTTCTCTAAACTTTGGAGCTGATTTGCAGATGAAATATACCTCTGAATGGACAACTGAAAGAAGATCTGAAAAGTTGGGTTGGAGATCTTCAAAACCGCATGTAGATCTACTCCTAGTGACTTACGAATCGTCAGGAAATTGCTTCACAAAACCTTCACAAAAATAAATTGATATCCTAAAACAGATCTGACGTCACAAGAAGAAATATCCATAACTCTCTGAATATAACTCGGTTTACCGTAATTTTGGATGTTATGGAAAGCTGAGAAAATGATCTTTCCGATGGTACCAAAATCAGCTTCTGATACTTTATGAAACGGTTGGAAATCGCCCCGTAATTGCTGGAGGAGAGAGCTGGCGGGAGGGAGGGTCGTGGGAGTCAAGAGGAGAAGTCTTCTTGAGCAGATCTGAAGGGGAAAAAGCCAACTGCGGCGGTTCTAGATCTGGATCTGGAGGACACAGATGAATGGTGGTGGTTCAAGGAGAGGGAGGCGCCGTTTGAGAAAAGAGAGTTATTGTTAAAGCTCAAATCTACAAAGAAAAGAGAGTTTAGATCTGCAAAACCAACAAAAAGAAAGGGAGCTCAGATCCACAACCAAAAGAAACGAAGATAAACATGTTATGCATAAGGAGATTCTCCTTCATCCTGAGGAACCAAAGGAAGAACCTGCGAAGATCTCATCGGCAACCGCCGCAGATCAGATCTCAAGCACCGATGGCTCCACAGACGAACGCCGGAGAGAGAGAGAGAGCGAGAGAGAGGCGAGCGCCGTTTAAGAGAGGGGTTGGTTTTTTATTTTTAACAAAATTAGGGTTTCTTGTTTCTTTTATATCATGAGATAAATATTCCGGTTTAATAAAAATTCCGGTTCAATTAGATTTAGGTCTACCGCTTCGATCTACTCGAATTGTCTACCGATTTAGTCTACCACGAAATTACCGAAACGTCGATTCAATCTCAGCCGTCGGTTTGAAACTTCGGGATTCCCGCTAGGTTAAAACGGTTGGTAGACCTTCACTTCCGTCTACTCTATTAGTCTACCTGTTAGGTCTACTTTACCCTAAACCCTATATCGAACAATTTAGATGCAATTTTGCAACGATTTGCTTGCCATATTGTCAATTTACAATGTATATTACAAATAAACGAACATTGAATCGTAAAACCAATCAAAAACAATTATTCATCTAAATTTTTTCAAAACCCTACAACTTACACCATTAAACCCTAAACAATCTACTCAAACTCTTATCCTTATGAACTATTTACATATGATATTTATAGATTCATGAGTTTTTATGAAATTTCATTTTTAATATATGTTAAATGTCTATTATTTCGTTATTTGTGAAACAAATATTTCAAATTATTTTTTAAATTTTTCTTAATTTAAATTTAAGATTTGATGATTTAGTAGACCTACTTGGTAGACCTCTCATGGTTTTATAGGCTTTTAACCTAATTTTTTTTTTTCATAGTTCAGTTGGTTCAAATCTATGAAATTATATTTTAGATAGATGCAAGTTGTCTGTATTGTAATTATGTATAAATAATTTTCCTCAAAATATTTTTTTTTCAATTTTTATAATAAAAATTTAAATTTAATGATATAGTAGACTTACTCGGTAGACCTCACACATTTTTATAGATATTAACCTATATGTCTTTGCTTATCTATAAATGATTCATTTGTATGCATTCATATTTTTTGTAGATGATAATGTCTATATTAGAATTATTCATACTTGTTTTTGTATAAAAATATTTTTTATTGAATTATTAATTAAAATTTAAGATGTTATTATGAGGTAGACCTCTAACATTGTCTACCAGGTAGATCTAGGGTAGATCTACATGCTGGAGGTTATAATCGTAATCGAGGCATGCGTTTTTTTGTTTGGTCATGAGGGCTTGTGGGGTAATTTTACTACCCAAAGAGGTTACTTTTGCATTTGATTCAAATTGTGTAGTTGACTAGAAAAAATGAAATTGTGGTCTAGATTTGGCAATTGCCCCAAGATATTTTAAGAAATTATGGGAAAATACAGAAAATATGGAAAATACGGGAAATTATAGAAAAGTATGAGAAACATTGGGATATTTAAAAATATATATATAATTTTCAATTTTTAATTTTTTAAACGGGAAATTCAGAAAATCCCGTACCCTTTCCGAACCCTTCCCCTACCCGTTTGAACGGAATTTCCTGTTTGGGAACATTTATTTTATTCAAAGTAAAGGAAGGGTTTGGGAAGGGTACAAGACTTCCCGATTTTCCCGTTTAAAATAAAAAATTGAAAAATATATCTTTTTTCTTAAATATCCCAATTTTTCTCATATTTTCCCATAATTTCCCGTATTTTTTCCATATTTTCTTGTATTTTCCCGTAATTTCCCAAAATATCTTCCGTTTTCCTGATTTAGTAAGACTTTGGGAATTAATTTTTTATTCTCAAATTTCCCGTTCTCTTCCTATTCCCGTTATTTCTCGTCCCGTTTGAATAAGGGAATACTTCGGGTATCATCTTTGGTTTCCCAATTTTCTCATTCCCGTCCTAAAAACCGAAATGCATTAGGCTAATCAAAATGCAGCTTTTTCATACGAGGGCTCTTTTTGCAAAAAAAAATAGTTTGAGGTTTTTTGTATAAAAACCTATTTTTTTAAAAAGATTCTGAAAATGTCACATTATCAATATAGACATGGGCTATATTGCAGGTGACTTTTGAGGTGAGTGGTTTAACTTGCATTTTTTTTAGGTGATGGTTTTTCTTGCAAAAATAATTTAGTTTGGGGTTTTTTTTGCACAAAACCCTAAATTAAACGTATTTGGTGGGCATAAGAAAAACGTCACAATATTATCTTTTACAGGTTTTGCAACTTCTTTTTTTTCTTTCTCTAATCCATAAAAACTTGACTCAAATTGTTATTGGCAGTTATGAAATAAAGTAAATCATGAATTGTATTATTCATATTTTTGGTATGTACCAACTATCGATTGAATGGTAAATGGTATAACACCCAAAAGCCTAATACTAAATGGTATAATCATCAAAGAAAACGAAGAATACCTAATTAAAGACAGAAACAGAAGTACGTGAGTCACACGCTACATCACTCATGAATTGAAAGATGCGATGGGTGCGGTTTTGGAGGATGTTGAACAATGTGAGGCACCAATTAGATACTGTAAAGAGTGATCAAAAGACAACATACACGAATCTCCTCCACAATCTCATCAAGTTACTGAACAAGCCTCCACATAGCTTCACGGAAACTGACCTAAGCAACGCGCATAGCGAATTGATCGATCTTACAGAAGCAGGCTTCGAGTTAGACTGGTTGAAGACAAAGCTTGCTGATATTTCCTTGGAGAGTAAGAAATCTAATTCTGATGGCTCTCGAGTCCAAGAACTCGAGAAACACATCAAGAATCTCAAAGTTGAACTGGAAAAAGAGATAACCGAGTCGGCTGCTAAAGTTTTATCATTGGAGCAGAGAGTGTCGAATCTCGAAAATGAGTTAAACAAGAAGAAAGCCAAATCTGCTTCTCCTAAAGCTTTTTCATTCAAGGATGTTGTTTGCCTTTGGGATAGTGATACTAAAGGTGGTTTTGAAAAAGCTTTATATAGCTTTGTTACACTATACATTACTGATAACTATATATTTAGCTTGATAGATCGAAACCATTACAGAGAAGGAACTTCCACGCCCGTATCAACTGATACGTCTCGAAAGGTTCCTTGCGCTACAAGTCTATTTTTAACGAATAACGAGTCTACTGAATTTTATCATTGGACCATTGGTGCATTTGCGATATCATGTTCCAGTTTAGGTTTTTATATTGAATGATTCGCTTTGTCTCCTCCTCTGTTAAAGAATATCTTCAATTTCTCTTCTAACCTCTCTTCAATCCTTCCTCGTACGCCCATCTCATACTCACCAGTCAACAAATTTATTCATCCTAACCATTCTTGATTACAAAAACCAAAACAACTTGAATCCTTAAAACGATCTATGCACAATGTATCTTAAATTTTGTTTGTGGAGATTCATGTTACCAAAGATAGTGACTTGCCAAAGTCCTCAAAAGTGCTCAAACAGCCACCAGTTTCAAATTATTCAAACGATATGTTTCTACCTGTGCCAAGGGAAGTTTTTGCAAGTTAGAAGTAACATTTGAGAGTACCAGTGCCACTGTTTCCTTTCCCTTGGCCTCAGATACTTCTCTGAGAACATCAGACTCCATGATATTGTGAAGTTCCTCAGAACGCTCCTCTTGACCCCAACACCGAGTAAGCTGTAAGAACAACGCCTTTAAACTTACAAAGCTCCCTTAGCTTCCTCTGTTGCCATACTGGACTCATCTCCACAATTTTTTTACATTCATCCATAAAAATCAAAATTTCTCCAATTGTTTAAGCTAATCTTATCTCTTCTTAACAAAGGAAAATAAGAAAATGTGAACTTTACTTGATTGACGCTGGGCGGGAGGGATGTTGGCGATGGAGACACTACAAGAAAACACTAGATCTTCCAACAAAAAATTTCTGACAAATAAAATCATTGGTAAATTCCCACGATTATCTATCAAGATTCCGTCGTAAATAAGTTTTGTTGGAAACACGTTATACTTCCCAACGACTTTTAATGGTTAAAATCATGTCGGAAGATTTGTTGCAAACTCGTTCGATTAACAAGTTTCCAACAAATAGTTAGTCATTAACTTCCGACAAATAACATTTGTTGGACATAATTCCCACGACGTTTCCAACAAATAGTTCGTCATTAACTTCCAACGAATAACCAACAAATAAAATTTGTCGGAAATGATTCCCACGACGTTCGAACAAAGGCACATTTCCAACAATCAAATTCCAACGAAATAATGTTTGTGTGAAACACGTCGGATATCGTTATTTCCAACAAAATACCAATTAATGTGTCCGTTGGAATGCTGAGTTTTTCTTGTAGTTTAAACATCTCTCTCTCTCTCTCTATTGGAGTGATGGACTTTTGGGTGTGTTAGAGTCTCATTTGTTAAATTACAATTTAAAATAGATTTCACCTCGCGCAAGCCGCGGGAAATTACCTGGTCTATACTATTATTTGCAAACTGATTTTAGAGAATGGAACTCGATCTCTCATTCATTTTCATGATTGAAAACTCTAAATTACTCTTAATAAAATAACTCATTTACAACCTATTGCCATTTTATATAACTTTTAAGGGTTTTTCATAGTACCGATTATGTTTTTAACGTGCCAAAATTTTGTTTTGTTTTGTGACTATTTGTATAGAATTTTGTTATGATTGTTTCTTCATCTACTGTTTTTTGTTTCATTTATATTTTGCAGAAAAGTTTACGGCCAAGAAATCTAAGCCATACTTTCTACGAGCTAAACGTTATATGTTGTACTGCCAATATATTTAACTTTTTTATATATTCCTTGTGTGTTGTGTTGTATATATACAAATTCAACCTTTACATAAGTCCTAGTTTTGGGTCAAGAAACGCTGTAATACATCTATGCATGATTTAGAATGAATCTATAATCTCTTAAACTTAATTCTTTAGCCCTATTGTTATGTTATTTTGCACCTGTACAATGTACATAGATTACGAGTAACATTGAATTCATCATCAATGACAATTCACAAAGTCGTTTAAAAAAAAAAAAAAAAAAAAAAAAAAAATCCACAAAGGCGGAGAACACCTAGTAACTACTATATACGTGAACACCTTTTTCCCGGAAGTAGTTATAGTTGCCAATCCATCTTCATATCTTTAATGTGAGATCTGAGATAGCATACGTGAAGACGGGATACCAAAGATTGAGTTTAGGGAACTGGGAGGCTTTATTAACTCGAAGAAGATCGAAGAGATTACAAAAGGAATTGGTCTCGTCAACAGGCTTGACGAGACGAATAATAGTAAACAAGAGATAACAAAAAAAATGCTATTGCCTAGGGTTCTTTAGCTGAATTGCGGATGATTTCGGATGCCTTTCCACGAATGGGGGTCTTCATTAAATAGTGTTGATATGTCGGCTCCTTGATGAATATTTTCCTTTTGGCGAGATGGAAAACTTCATCTTTTAGTGATATGGAAAACTTCCTCTTGTTCTTGATTTCCTTCCATTCTTCGAGTCGGCATGAGACTTTGTTTACATTCTCATGGATTGTGCCTTCCTCCTCGAGTCTTGCCATTTTATTGACGAGGTTAGGACTAAAGTCGAGTTGGGCCTCTATGATTTTACTAATGGTAACGGCTCAGGAAAATGTGCTAATTTTACCTCTAACATTTAATCCGCGTGGACAAAAATTAGGTGCACTCCAACATTTGCAGAATGGTACAGTAATTGTTTTAGTTCTTTTTTTTAACCCTATTGAGAGTATCTCAACATAAAAAATAAAGAAAATCTTTTTGATGAGAAGTTGAGAACCACTTCTCATATGTGATACTTACACTTAGAGAAAAAACAAATCAAATCCAGATTATGTGCGCTAGTCAACGTCATTGCTTACACGTACTAGTGGCATTATTTGTTTTGGAAGTTGGTCGGAATGACTTAGGTGTGTTATTAATTTACAGAATATTGATGCGATTGAGAGTACTTATGGTTCATGGTGCGCATGTAATAACTAGTTGATCAATCTTATTAATTGAAAAAAGCTTACAGTTCAGTAAGTATATGTCTCAAACAGGTAGTGTGAAAGGGCACATTGACCAAAACAAAGGACCTACATTCAAAATATCAAGCAGGCAAATAAGACACCAAATTGTCTTTCTGCTAGATGGAAAAGGTGAAACTCCAAATGGTTTCTTACCTAACAAAAAAAACTATGAACATCAGAACAAAAAATTAAAATAAATCAAACTGAACCTTACCAAACGAGATTTGATACCAATTCGATTACTACAGTTTATAAACCAAAAACTGAACACGAAACTGATTCAATAAAACACGGATTAGGCATCACTAGTTCACTTGATCAATTGTAAACCCACCTGTAAGGGAATTAAATTGTTCTTAAAAATATCATCATCACCAAATTACGCCACTGTCAAACAAGCATTAAACCCTAATAATTCTCAAAGTGCTATAAAGCTTAAAGTTTAAAAAATCGAGTGGGGATCATAAAAACCAGACGAAAATCTAATCGAGACAAGACAAGATCTACGAGTAACAAAAACCCTAGATCCTGAATTTTTCCAGAACATGAGCATAATTATCCTTTAGATTCAATCTACGAGGTAAAAGGTAATGAAATTTATGGATTTAGAGAGATCTAATATAACAAATCAAACAAATACAACAACTGTCAACACAAACATAAACGAAAACTCATAATTCTAAGTAAAACAGATCTGGAAATTGGATCCTTTCATGTTTTTCACCTCGGTCTCCGATTATCTTGGTGCTACACGGGAACTGATTCGTGCTCACAAGCCAACGATGGAAAACTATGAGGCGGTGTCAACCAATCAATTCCCGAGCTGCACCAAGCTAATCTGAAACCGCCGTGACTTAATCATCATCATCGTATCTCTCTGTCTGTCTATCTCTCTCTCTCTCTCATTGGGAAAAGTTGAAAAGAGAAACGAAAGAGACAGTTGACGGCTAAGATTTTGTTCTCTATCAGAACTAGGGTTATTAGTTTATTACATTGGCCTCTTCAGGTGGGTATTTAATCGAAATTACAGACCACAAGATGTCAACGCGTGTTTTATTAAAAGGTCTTATCGTCCACACACTCGTTTTTCTAGATTTGTCTGATTCGTAACTAGATTTGTCTGTTTCAACAAAAATTAAACCTGAACCAAAAAAAATATTATTGTCGTAATTTTTAAATCTCTGATTTACTTAAATGTAATACTAGTAATTTAAAAAATTATTTAATGGGAGAAATGGGAGATCTGATACCTAAATCTTAGAACATGGTCCCTATCTTCCTGTAATGAGGTTTTGCTTTAGAATGGTTATGGTCCTAACACCCAGTGCCGGTCCAATGAATTTAAACGCCCTACTCGAATCTAAAAAATATGCCTTTCAATTTTTTTTTTCCAAAATCACAAAAACAGTAAAAATATAAAAAACGCCTTAAAACTTCATAAAATAAACAAGTTCTAGATAAAAAATGCCCAGTTTGTAAATAGTTTGCGGGAAAAAAATACTGATTTCTTATGGCTTAAATATAGCTTTCCTTGGATTCTGAGCTGCAAAAGCATTCATTAAACTCACTTAATCGAGTTTTCCAACCATAACCGTCTCGATCAATAACAAAAACCAATCCATTCAATCTTTCTTGTGACATGGTAGATCACAAGTAATTCTTAATCAACTTCAACTTCGAAAAACTTATTTCAGCAGTGGCAACCGATACAAGAATAATAATATGCGATAAGCTATTTCTGTGTTTTGATAACAATCCTCCATCCTTTTCAGAAAATCAAGCACTTTAATAGGCTTCTTAACTTCTTCTGGTATTGATTCTCGAAAAAAATTCAGTTCCATAAACAAATCATTCCTAGACCCCTTTAAAAAAAATTAACAAAAATATGTTCTTGTTAAAATTTTGTACATAATACCTTTAAAAAAAATAAGTAACTAAAATATGCCCTTGTTAAAACTTTGTAAATGATATTTATACACCCTTAATAAAGAATTTTACAAAAATATGCCTCCAATAATTGGATGCCCTACTCGACCGCTTACCCTGCATCTGCTCAGGGCCGGCCCTGCTAACACCTTCTTTTGTATTCTGCCTTCTTTTGATGTCTCGTCCGCATATTCATAATTTAATCATGGTCACATCAAAGCACTGTTAGGCTCAAGCTAAATTCCCACTGCCTAGTATGATTTAGACATCGGTGAAATATGATTAGTCATTTAGTTAACAATGAGATTTGAAAAAAGCTGTAAAGGATTCGAAACTTGAGAAAGAAAAAAATTAAAAATTTTATTTTCCTAAATGACGGGAGTTACATTCTGAGTTAAGAAAACTAAAAAAAAAAGAAAAAAAAAACACTATTGATTGTTTCTTCATCTTTTTTTTTTCTCATTTATACTAGACTAATATCCGCATGTACGCACTGGTTTTTCTATTGTTATAATTTTTTGAAAAAATTGAAAACAACTATAATTTATAATTAATAATAGAAAATCTTACCCAAATAACACCGACATTTTAATTTTAACTTGTATAATTAGTGAGTGCTTTCAAATATATATTTTTGCATTATACCACATGTCTTTATGCCTTCAATTTTCTTTGCTTACTCACCCCTACATGATTAGACT